TTCTCGTTTGCCATTGCCGTTTTGCCATGATACATTGATACCGGACGGACGCTCAGGTCCAAGACATTTTGAAATGCATGCATTGTCTTTTTGGCGTCCTGTTAAGATTTTCATCCCTTCATATCCCAAGCCGTCGTATAATTATGACGAATTTCTAATCAGTCTGTGCGGGTAGGTACAGGTTGATCTTACCCATCACGTCTCCGACAGACAATATCCCGGATTCGGAATGCGATAAAAGTCTGTTCTGGTCATACCTCAGGTGTCTCCTACTTTGACTACAGGCAAGGCAAAATGAAGAAGGCTCGTCTGTCACGTTGATCGCCGACCTTTCAAAGTACGATTTCACAATGGTCTGTAAGATCATGGTACATGGTGGCTTGCACTCGAACCAGTGCGACGGGCCAATGCTCGACACATTTGAATATCAAGAAAAAGCAGCGAGGAGAAAAGCAGGTACGCACTTGTTTCTTCTTCTCCTCTTCCCCAAACGGGCTCTAGTTGCTCGTGCACAACAGAAAACGTCCGTTTCACGGCTTCGAGAGCCTCCCATGATCTACAAGACTACCTGTCTCGTGCACTTTGTTGCACTAGTACACACTGATTGCTGGGGTTGAGTCTCCAGTTTTGCGCCGGTAATCTTGCACGAAAGCTCAGCTGCTTACAATAGACATGAAATCGCTGTGAATAGTAGCCAACAAAATTGCCCATCTCAACCATCCTGGGTGGGCTCCACGATGCGCTAAAACCCTGACCGACTTCAGCCCATCAAGCCCTAGCTAGCATCATCCTGGTTCGGAAGTATATGACGTCTGCCTGTCTGAGAGAGGTGGTGTACAGAGTAGATGCTGCGGAAAAAGACATGTAAGACCTGAACACACAGCTGAGAGCCAAGGTGAGAAACCTGGCTATAGCCTATAGGAAACCCGACAGTCTGGCTCGTATTAGCATCCGGTTGGCGTGGGCATGTTAAGCAACGGAGATAATTGCAACAACTTTGCAAGTCCCCTCTCTCTGGCTACAGTAATGCTGTACATATGCTGAAGAGTTTTTGGTTGTGTTACACAAAGGCAGCGCCCAGACAGGCACATCTAGCCGCCCATGGTCGATATTCATGCCTGGCGCCGTCCGTCACAATAATTCATTATGATAATAATATCTCTTCCTGTCAGGGCGGTCGTCGCATCACATTCGCAGTGCAGCCCATTCCATTCCATTCCATCCCAACCATCCGCCCGTCCACGTCCATCGCGGGAATGGGCGAAGAAAAGAACATGTGGAGATGGCGCGCCAGCCCAATGGAAGGATGCAATCAGCGGATGCGGTCCGTTCAACGGGATTGCTCGGTACCGGTAGCGAGTGCCCTAGCGAAAAGCGCCCATCAATTTGGGCGTGACCTTTCCTTTGACAGAATAGACCCAAGCAACCAAAAGTAGATCCTTATAGTGTACATGGTGTACTACTACTTGAGCTCCGCGCCCAACTAATCACTACACTAGCACTAGTCCTCACGGCAACTAATGCAGTAGCATTGGAGATGGATGGCACGATTCGAGGTCAGCCTTGGGCAGGCAAGGGAGCAGCAGGAGTGGGCAGAAATAGATATGGTAGGTGCGGTAAATGTGGTGCTCCCCCAGCCCGACCACTAAATGAGTGTGCAAAATAGTGTCAAGGTACGGATAAGAGGATTGAGAATAGGTAGGCAATGTAGCTCGTGGAAGCCGAGGACCTGACGGTTGTCCTGTGTGACGCCTCTAGCAAGCCGCTCTTGTCCGCCGCCGCCTAATGGTACCTTGATCACGTCCATGGCAGGTAGTGTCGAGTTGTCGAAAACGAGAAAGCCCTCACTCTCTCTCACACACACACGCACTGGGACATCATCGGCCATTACAACTACGCTCTACACACTATCGATTGTTGGATGTGCGACTAGGCAAAACGCCACCTCTTTGCTCTGATACATTCCCCACATATCGGGCTGGCGGCGAGCTTGTACAATATGGGAAGAGTAGGCGGGAAATTTCGCGAGTGGGCGATGGCTGAAGCTATTCGTAGATCCCCTCTCCACTCTCCACGGCCCGTTGACAGGGCGCGTGCGCGGCAGGACTTAGACTCCAAGGCCGTCGTTTCGTCAAAGACTAATTGACTATCGGATCGCGGAAACGCTGTGTCAAAAGGCAGGACAAGTTTCCTGATTGCTGCTGGGGTGGTAGAAGAGCCGAGCCGGGAGCAGGGCAAAGGTCGAGATTTTTGGTTTTCTTTCAAGTTTGGGGTGAGAGCGAGAGGGAACCACCCACCCGCCGCCCCTGAAGTTACGAGCCTTTGAAAGCTTTGTCCACTTTTTTTTTTTTTTCCTACTCTGTTCCGTTTCCTTTCGTCTTGTCGTCCTCATCGTATCTATTCTATTCATCTGGATGGTGCAGTAGAGCAGACTGGGGAACTAGCCGGGCCCTCCTACGTGGTAGTTTTGATTCCCCTGCCCTCTGCCGTTGAACGAGACCATGATCAGACCCCAGCCCAGCGTTGGCGCGCCCTACCCAGGTACCTAATCTACTGCTCACTTATACACTACTGCCATTACCATAGTACACTACTTAGCCGATCCATCTGAGATCCCATGATCCCAGCCCATCAAATGTACGGTATAAGTCACACACTTATACACCTCCGTCGCCTGCTACTGCTGCTGCTGCTGTTATTGCTGCTGCTGGCCACCCCATAATACACGACATACATGTAATGAGAAAAGGACTTTACAGCTAATGCATACTACATACAAACAAAACAAGTACCTTTTTTTGCCGTCGCTGTCCCCATGAAACAGGCCTCTCTACTTTTCCCTGATGCTGCTCTCACATATACGCACCTGAGCGGAGCCGGTAATTTCATCGTACGTATCCTCGTGAGCCCTCGTCAATCAAACAGTAGTTCTTGGCTTGCATCGAAACATACGATCTCTCTCTCTTTCTCTCTCGTAGCCAATTCATCATTTCAGAAAGCAGAAGGATCGGCTTGGGCCTGCCGCCTGCCTTTGGCTGTCCGTTCGAAACATGACCTGTAGTAGACACGACTGCCTAAGCCACGGGGCAGGCTAAGGCGGAAAGGTCTGGAGGGAGTCAATAGTCTAGTGTTGTGTAGACCACCACCTCATTAGACGTATCGCACCTCTCTCTGGGTTAGTCAACATGGTGAGTTTTGAGTGGGAAAGGAAACAGGTCATAAGCATTGGATCTCTTGCCCAAAGAGGCACTGTTCGATCTAGAGTACCAGTCGACCGATTTCACCTGGCTAGGCGATCCAGGTCTCGATCTACAAATTGAAATCGAACAGGACCCTTTCCACTTGCGCGGTAAAGGTACTGCCCAGCCCAGCCCCAGACCCTTGACATGGGCCAAGACAGGCTACACGCGGAACCGAGCAGTTGAAGACGAGTGGGGAGGGGAGAGGGGGAAGGAGAGGAAGGGAAAGAAGAAAAGCCATACATGGTAGGGTAATAGACGTGCATGGCTACTACTGCCTGCCCACTGCTGCTATAGCTACTACTACTATTTTGTACATTACATGACTACGAGAGGCGCCGACTGGGGGTGTCTCTATAGCCCGAGCTGCTCGACCGGGGTGGAGGGGCACCCATGTCTTACCGTGCCGACCCATGCCAGCAGCCCATCTCTATGCGACCCCACCACTCGCAAGCATGTATGGATGGATGGATGTATGCTCAAGATTGACTTCCTGGACCCTAATGGATACATACGCAAAAGCCTTGAACCTCTCGATCGCGGTCATACAATCGGTAGGTGGATGGGTACGTACTGAGTAGGTAGTCGAGCGTAGCGTAGTCTATCCCAAGCCACCCTATGTAATCCCTGCGTCTCTCCCGCGGATGGGCCAAGGGACATAGATACATGGTCTTTGGCGTTGGTCTTTTTCCTAGTACAGCCGTGTCTGTCTGTCATTTTGTAGAGGCAAGTAGAGCAAGAGCGCCAGCACATACACATACACACACACGCACCACCACAGCCGTGACTCGGTTGCCTTCTCGTGCCTTGATCTCAGGTGGCAGTTTGCACAAGTCGAGACCGAATTATCTCAGGTAGCTAGCTGGCTCTTGGAAAATTTGATAAACTTGGAACGGAATTTCCATCCAAAAGCGAGTCCACGAACTACAAAAAAAAGTTGAGCGAACCTAGTTATATTGCTCTTGCTGCCGGCTCCTGCAGGTCCTCTGTCCCGAGCCTGCCACTAGGCCTCTCTGCCGTATTCGTCTAAGTCTGTCTCGACCTGTCACTCAACGTAATGGCTTGTCGACTTCAAGCCTCACTTCGAAATATTTTTGCTCCAGCCGGCATCCCAGAGGAGAGATTGAGTACGTACAGTCCAGCCCACCCCCCCTAGTACACACACCAACCCCGGTCCATCCAGACACAGTAACATGTGAGCTATGGGGCGGCCACCTACTATTACCTCGACAGGCATCATGGCTCAGAGACATGGCCACAGGTACCTGTGAGTGTGTATACTTGTACCTAGACTACCGAGCCTCTCCTCCTATGATCTTCCGGGACGGGGTCCAATTGGCTAGCAAGGCACAACCCGGAAGCTCAACTTCACGAGAAACCGTATATACATATCTCTGTCCCTCCCCCAAGAGTTGCTTCCTCTTGATTCACTCGGGTCACCAACTTACTGATCAACCGTCAAGTACGATCTGAAGAACTCTCCTTTTTCCTTTTTTACAAACCGGTGGTATTTTGCTTTTATTGTCACTCTTACTCGTTTGCCCTCCTCAACTCCCCTCCGTCCCATCAGAGACGACAACGCAACGCAACCCGTCTCATCCATCAACAATAACAACAACAATAACAGTCACCATACATCCCTAGCACACACGGAAGCAAGCACAGATTCTTTTTCTCACAAAAAGATTACTAGTGCTAAGACTTGATCACACTTGCCAACCAGACAAGGCTGAAAGTCAAGATGACGCAGCATCCTCCATCTGCAAACTGGGACCACAGGTGGCACGGTCAGTACCAGCAACAACAAAATCCACAATACTCCAACATGGACACTTCTTCCATGATGCCTTTTGATCCCAGGGTGCCATCGTCGGCTCCTATTCAACCGCACCACGAGTCCCAATATGCTATTGGAACTACTTACCCCATGGCCTCCATCCCAAGCATGGCACCTCACACTGCCTTTGGCGTCAACTCCTACGCACCAGCATCGCCAACGTCCATGGTGATGCCATTCCGTCAATATGGTGACGAAAGACCATCCATGAGTGAGACCCCCTCCAATGGTGTGTCTTATCAGCACAGGGATGCGCAACAGGTGTACCGGCGAAACTATGTGGCCAGTCCTCCCATCAAGCGGGATCCTGGGCCACCAGCTCAGCTCCCACTTCCAACAACAGCAGCTCCTCCAGCGGCACCAGCACCGAAGCCATTGACGGACGAAGCCGGGGCCAAGCCGTACCAGAACAAGACCCTCATTGATGAAATGATGAGGGTGATCCAGGCTCAGGAGAGTGACAGCGAGGAGGCCGAGGAGGAAGAAGAGGAAGAAGACCTTGAAGAGGAGGAAGAGGAAGAAGAGGAGTCCAAGCCTGCCTTGAACTCGCCGCCAGGTAGCAGGAGGGGATCGAGATGCAACAGCCCCCGAGGTACCAGGGCCAAGCAGCGCCGAAACAGCAAGCAGAGCAAGGAGAAGCGCAGATGCCCTTGGGAAGGTTGCAGGCAGACTTTCAACCAAGGCACTCACATGAAGATCCATATGCGAAAGCATACGGGCGAGAAGCCATACGTGAGTTGATCCTTCTCGCTGATAACCATAATCCAGTAACTAACATGGAATTTACAGGCTTGCTCCTGGCAGGGCTGCAAGTGGACCTTTTCGCAGCATGGCAATCTCAAGGTCAGTCTTTTTGGATACGATATCGCTGACCTGGTTGCTAACCCGGCGGCAGACTCACTACCGCAGGCACACTGGAGATAAGCCCTTCAAGTGTGATCAATGCCCACGAGAGTTTGCACAAAAGGGTAATCTGAGGGCCCACCTCTCGGTCCATGACACCACCAAAAGGTTCCATTGCCTGATTGATGACTGCAACAAGCCCTTCACCCAGCGAGGCAACCTGAAAAATCACCAGAATAAGTTCCACAAGGAGGCTGTCATGAAGTACATGACCCTCTTTGCCGAACATTCTCTGGAGAGCATCAAGGACGAAAAGGACCGGAAACTTTTTGTCCATTTCAAAGAAATTTACAAAAACATGAACCGAGGCATCAAGGGCCGCGGAGTTGGCCGCACGATCCAGCAAAAGAAGTCCACGACTGGTAACGCACAGGGTCAGGCCCTGCACGACGTGCCAATGTACCCGGTGCAGCAACACACGCCGCCCATTGAGCACTCGATGCCGCACCAGTTTTCCCAGCTGCCTCCATCGTACCCCCCTCAGGCCCAAGCCCAGCACCAGCATCAGCATCACCAGCACCACCAGCAGTCTCACCACCAACATGTTCACGGCCTACCACCCCCGACCTGGCAGGGCTACCCCGTGGCCACAGCCGCAGGTGCTCCTTCGCGGCCCGACGGTTCCCACTACGTGATGCCTTCCGCCCGCGCACACTACGATGTGTATGACATGGAGCACGAGAACATGTCAAGCGGTGGCTCAAGCGCCGGTACAGCAATCCACACACCTGCTTCTTCAGTGTACGAGGAGGACCACGGCCGGGCTCTGACATTCCGAGAGCGCATGTACTAGAAGCAAGCTGCCACGACACATACACGACATACAGTCTGTGTGCTGTACATGATGAACGACCAAACGAATGACAAGTTTTTCTTTTGATTTCACGAAGTCTCTACGATCCTACTTCCATACCTTTTACGAAACGACAGACGCTCTGCAGCTCACGAAGCCAAAGGAACGAATTGAGGTACCAGAATGAACCCACAGGTCCTCAGATGTGCCATATATCTGCCAATCATCTTTTTTCTCATCTCTTTTTTCGATATTGTCTCATACAACGTTGGCTGTTTGCAATTTTCAACACAAAAGTTTTACTCGGCTATAAACGACACTATACATTGGATGGGTCGGCACTCTCGTCTTTACTCCGTTTTTCCTTGGCACCTAAACAACCATCAAAACCAAGAAAAAAAAATGTTTTTCTTTCATCATCAGCGGAGAGAGACCAAAAAAGCAAAATTATTTTGAAAACGGGGGCGGCTATCGTCGATGCATTTTAACTGGAGCGATACGAGCACGTGTCTCCGTCAAAGGGGGGCAGCCAGTCCGGTGGGCGGATATGGACACTCTCCAGTCGGAACTCGAAGCCGGCGGAATTCTTTTTTCTCTCTTTCCATTTGCGATAACAGAGATGCTTGCGTCTCTTGTGTGAGTGGTTGGAGTCATTGGCAAATCTACTTTGGGAAGGCTGTCTGAACACTCAATTCCTTGTCTGTTTTTCTTCTTTTGCTTGCACGTTTTTCTTTTTTCTTTTGAAGGGTTCTCTGTCAACCTGATGCCCGCTAATGTCTGTTTTTCCTCCTTACTCAATCAGTGATGGTCCTGCCGGATCGGTCCGCATTGTCCCTTCTTTGCTTATTGTCTGTTTTTTTGCTTTTTTCCACATCTTGGGGGGTTTCTTCTCCAACCCACCCTGGTCTTTTTGGTCTGATCTCATCGGGATCTCCAAAGTGTGCATGTATCGTACTTCTTTTTTTTTTCCTCCCAATTTTCAATTTCCTTTATTTCCAAACATCCGGTTTCGTCATCTGCAGCCCTTGTGGCCCAACTCTCCCTCGAACGCAAGGGAGAGATGGCATGGAACAAGAAAAGGGTTTGCAATACTTTTGACAACCACGAGAGGATGTTTACTGCAGATGCTGGGCTGTTTGCTACGCGCCGGGCGTGGAATGCCAACCAACCCACTGAAAGCACCCTGCAGATCAAACAGGAGAAGATGCAAGCCATCCGAAAGGAGAGAAAACAAAAAAGTGAGAACCTCGGGTTTCATGGTCAATGGACACATTTGGCAAGGGTGATCGAGCCAAGAGGATACGCGCAACGATTGGGAGGGAAATCAACTGGGAACCATCAGGAGCTTAGGAATATTGGGAACTATATTTGCAATAAGAGCGGGCATCTCTGGGACAAGACAAAACATTTGGGGCGGCGGCTTTTTGATTTGCAAATACTACATCCATTACAGCGGGAAAGATACCAAGCGTGTCAGGGTTTTTAGACCCTTTGTTCATTGGGAACGGAAAGATACCAAACTCGAAAGAGGGTTTTCCTTTTTTTTACTACATCAATAGGTTCAGGGTGTTGAGAGTAATTAGCATTCGTAACATTAGCACAGCAAGCAAGCAATGCAATCAAACATTGAAAGCGACCATGAACTGTATCTCTCGTCTCTTGTGTCTTTGAGTGATCAATCTAACCAAGTAATGACGTGTGGGTAGAGCTTTCAGTAGAAGTTGTAGCATGTGGTTGCATCTACATATCCCTGTGCAAGTGTCTGCTTGTATGTGTGTGTGCCATTATTATCACCAGAGGGTTGCAAATCTTTGCAGACGGGTGCTATTCTCATTCTCCATGATTTTCCCTTGGGTATTTGCCATGTCTACATACCTTACAAGCATGGATAACAAAGATACCCTACGTGCAAAAATGCCATGTCAAGATTTCCATATTATTCCAAGGATGTGGAGGAGAAACGGGGGGTGCGTGGTGAAAGAGACACGAGAGAGCCCTGTCAAGCCCTGTTGTCGACTTTTTGGCATATCTTCAATCTCTTCTCAACTAGGGTTATTCAAAACGTCCGACCCTGGTCTCGCTTCCGAGTTTTCTATACCCTCCCAAATCTCCAAGCCAGCCAAGGGCAAGAGGGAGGGAAGGGTAAAAAAAAAAAAAAAAAAAAAAAGTCAATGCGAGTGGATGAGCCGATCCTGGTTCCGGCATATAACGTGCGTCATCCATTTCTTGACAGTCTTTTTCGTTTTCTTTTCTTTTCTTTTATTTTCTTCTTTCTTTCCATGTGGGATAACCACCAGCCCCAACTTACTAGACGTCGGCGAATGACAATAAAGATTTCCCCTTGATCACGGAAAAGAGGATATGCCACCATGAGAGAGAGAGAGAGAAGAGAGGGGGCGCCTTAGCAAGGGGACTGACTAAACAGGGTAGCCGACGCCGTGGGGGTGGATCATTGGGAAATCGTTCGTTTGCGATCCAGAACCTCCCCCCCCCCAAAAAAAAAAGAGATGCAGGGTTTTTTCCCCCCTCAACTTAATCACTAAGCGTCAAGCACCCCCAAAAATGAATCCCAGAAACGGGAACAGCCGGGGACGGGGAAGTAAGGGAAAAAAAAAAAACATCAAGTAAAAATGGGACTTTTTTTTCCTCCTCATGTCAGGGGTGATGGCTGCCCGGGCGATACGCAAGCATCGTCAGGGAACATAGCTCGGAGAGAACATTTGACACCACCACATGGACATGAGGTGTATACTAGAGTGGCAGGAATACCACTTTGACAACCTACGCGACAACAAGCAAAAAAAGACAACAAGGGTTTTCTTTGAACACTCTTGTCCAGAGAAACAAATACGCACCACACGTTGAGAGAGAATCCCCAGTGGCCCACAAACAACCGATTATGGGAGGGGACTACTACACACTTCCCATTCTACTACCACCGTGTGCTACCACATCACCAAGCATTGGCCCCTCCGCCCCGTCTTCCCCGGAAGCACAAGCCATGAAATTCGAAAGGGAAGGGTGTGAAGGGGACTCCATAAAATTCTTTTCCTTCTCTACTTCTTTTTTCCCCCATCGATCTCACAAGATGGAGCAAGTTGAAAAAGTGACAGGTAAAAAGAAGCTATTCCAAGTATCGACTAGAATGTGGTAGAGATGCGGTTTCGCTGGGAAAAAAGAGATTGAGTTAAAGCAAGAGCGGCAAGAGAAGATCTAGAAGACCGCAACACACAGCTTCCAGCCCTTTTTCTTCTTTCTTTCTCCCCCCTTCCTTGTCGAGTTCGAGTAAACGCCACGACCGAGTTGAGCCACACACACACAGACATGCAGACATACATTCATTAATCTCTACCATGTACACATTGTACAATAACCCCTTGCTCTCAAGCCCCCGCCTCTCCCCCCATCAACCCATGTTGTCTACCGAAATGTCAATGTCACGACAGGGCTGGAAGAGAAGGACGGGGGATAGGGAATAATGCGTCCGGACTGTGGTCCGCGACCAGTGAGATATAACGGATTTTTGCTTTTATTTCCTAATATATCCCTTTTTGTTTTTTGTCCCTCATGGCTAGGACCTCTTTTTCTTACCCTGTTTTTGATAAATCTGTATACATGCCGCTCCCCAAAAAAAGATCGAACGACTTTTTCCGGCTTCATGATTCATCATCATGGCGTCTTGTGTGGAATCACATTCTTTTGCGGGATAGCCAGAGCTTGGCAAGTGACCCATAGTCTAGATGGTAAAGATAACGAAAAAAGAGTGTGGGGTTTTGTTCCAAAAAAAAAAAAAAAAAAGGACCCGGCTTGACGGGGAAATAATCTAACCCGAGCCGCCTTGATATGGGGGTTCATGAATAAGAGGTTGTATATTACTACTATAATTCACTATGTGGCATTAAACTTTGTGTGTTTCCCATAAAACAGGTCCAAGTAGGATTTATAGCATCCATGTAAGATTATATTTAGCATCATTTATTGTGGCTTGACCTATTTTTTTTTTTAAAAGAAGAGCGACTCGCAAGGGGTGGAAGGGGGGTTTGTTCAGTTGAACTTAAAAGGATCATGACAAAGACAAGATCTTACCTTTGGCTGAACCTTAGGTAAGGCAACCAACCATTGTACTACCTTCTAAATCATTCAAGAGTGATTAAAACATGGTAGTTGTATCGTTCAGATCGTCTAGTCTTGCAAACTACCCCCCCCCCGCCCTCCCCAGAAGCGCGGACGAACTAATGCCCCATATGCATCTCGGGAGGTCTATCGCCCATTCTACTATAGCGCATCTCTTGGGCGTGGCATTCCACCCCCCGATCTGCGCGGGCAGGGCCAGGGTAGGGGAGACAGGGCCTGAATAGCCGGGTTACCGGGGCGCGCCCAGGGAATTATTTTTTCTCTTTCCTTTAGAGTCTCTATTCCCTTGAGGAAAGAATATGCCCCCCTCCCCCAACCCCGGCAAGCGTTTGCAAAAAATCTTGGTATCTTTTTTCTCTCTTTCATTCTTCACGCCCCCTCCATCCCAACTTGCCCCCTGCTTGAACCTAGTTATATGAAATTGGGACGGGACGGTACGACGGATCTGATGCAAAGCGACTATAGACGTACACAATTGTGGACAAGGGCCATGTAATGTAAGTAGGGCAAAAGGCAGGGCAAAGGCACATTGGCGCATGGCGCAGAATTATTCCCCTTCCCTTGCCTTTCCCCTCCATCTCCCCGTTCAACATTAAAAAAAAAAAATGATTACCGTATAGTTGGGTGTAGCCGAGAACCTTGCGCTCTTCCCGTTACCACCAAGCCGGTCGACTAAACCAGATCAGGCCAGACACCGCCCAGATCTCCAAGGAAGTATCCGACTAATGCACGTGTTATCCTCTGCGGTATAGTCGATCCAGCTGTCTCTCATGACTTGCAGTAGTAGACAGGTCGTAGGCTCGGGTATGATTTCCTGATTTCTCAGATGGGCTGAAGAAAAAAAAAAAAGAGTGAGAAAATGCGAAGCAGGTAGCCAAGTCTCGCAGCCACACTCACGGCAAACCATCCATTCCACAAATCGTCAATCAGTCTCTTGACATCTGTCTGTCTGAGCTGTACGAGGAAGTTCTTGCGCTGCTGATGCATGGATCGAACTGATGGCTACATTCGCGGCCGGTCAGGCAAGGTGGGCGAATTGCCGCGATGCAGCCCAGGGGGGGTGTTTGTCCCAACCGGGGGCCAGGGCGCGTTTGTGCAACCATCCTCACGCAAGCTTTTGCTCATATCACATCAAAAGTACGATACTCCTCGAGAAATGCTCTATGTCAGTCAACAGTATGTTTGATGACAGGATGTGCATCTCCTCACACGTCGATCTGGAGCCCAGCCATGCCCGGCGAACGAGTTTTTGCCAGCTGCCTGCCTCGCAGACCTCACCGCCGCCCCCTGCAACATGCCAAATCGAGGAACCGATGAACGATGCACGTGATTCATCATTGGTCAGTGTGGGATAGAGCATAAGTGCAACGCTTTCAGTATGCAAATTCCACAATCATACATTATTCACCGCCATATGCGAATGTCGCTCATGACCCGTCGCCTTGCCAATGATTGCAAGTCAAGGTCTTCTGCCAGCGACTACCTGCATGCGTCGTCTGTGCGAAAGGGAATCTGGATCTGTGGGGCACCCGTTCTTATTCAAACTCGATCGCTACCGGGGTAGAAAGATTGCTGCTCATCGCGCAGTCAAACCTCCCCTACCTAGTGATTTAGTAAGGGTGTCGTGCGAAACCGTCTCGATAGCCGAAGCATGCGATTGTACGAATGGCACAAGGGTCTGTAGACTGCCGCACTGCCGGATTGAGAAGCGGCTTGGGAGAGACATTTGAAGCGCGGCACGTCATGAAATATGACACTGAAAAAAAAGAACGGGTTCCATCTTCCTGCGTTGCCACAAACGGCGCTCGCCCAGGCAATAGTAGACGATATGGAGGGTCGTGTTTCACATACGGCAGTCATTGAGCCTGCCGCGCGACTCCGCATGACCACCATTGAAAAGGCCGAGTTTCGCCTATTGCTGATTTTAGCTGAGCTGAGCGAGCATGTCTCAATCTAGGCTCAGTTGCTGATGGCGGCAATACTTGACAAGCGCCAGGCAAGCGTAATCGGATTGAATCAATCACTCGATTATGCAGGCAGTAGACTACTGCTGCTGCTGGCCCATGTTTGCCCTCTTCTCGCTCTCTCCATCGCTCTGGTGACCTTTAACCCCCATGCAACGTGGAGACGAACAGGATATTGTCACCACTCTGAATCTCATAGGCTTCCTCGCCCTCCAGCTCCCAATCGGCGTCATTGATCAAGACCAGGATTCCCGGGCGCCTGGAAATGGTAACGTTAGCCTCACTTTGCAATTTTCTTCTCCTCCCTTTCCTCGACTTCCCCGGGCTGGAACCCTGGGCCCCCATTGACAGGGCGAGTATATTAGCTTACAGCCATAAGGCCGAAACAAGCATACATACGGCCGCGCTCGCGACCACCGCACGGCTGGGGTGGTGGTGGTGGTTGTACTTGTAGTAAGTAGTAGTTCATCCACCCTCCTCCCTTGGCAACTTGAACCAGGGCCACGCTGGTACAGATGGTGAAAATTTGTATGAACCTACAGGTGGTCGTCGAGGACAAAGAGCTCCTTGCGACTATCCTTCATCGTCTCACGACAGAGATGATCGATGAGAAAAGCAACAGTGGCTGGCTTGCCATCCTTGTCGACGGCGGGAATAGACAGCGAATGGCGACGCTCGTCTCCGAACAGCATCTCAAGCCCGCCACTGTATATATGAAAAAGTCAGTACAAACTAATGGGTAAAGATGACGACGACTGCTGTCATTTCCTCTTTAGGGTTTGAAAGACTCGAATTCTCTTCTGCCATACTCAGGGTATCCTTATGTGAAGTGATCCACTAGATGGAGGAGGATTGTCTATCGTGCATAAAATCATCAGACGGTCGACTTACGTGAACTCTACCACGAGGGAGATTGTGGGCTGTTCACTGACGGCATCCACCACGTTCTGGGCTGTCTCGGCCTCGGAGCTCATGCTGCCACGAGTTGCTGCTAAGCGGGTAGATGGATAGGTAGGTAGGGGTCCCTGAATCGTCCGCCCGTCTGTCTGTAAGTGTGTCTGGCGCGTGCCCCAGCTCTTCTCTCGTTGAAAGGCTGCCTGTTGCTGCTAGCTGCTTGCTGCTGGGCCAGCCTGTATCAAGACATGCAAGGTGTCAAACGAGAAAAAAAAGCTTGTGGCTTGTTCTGCCGCGGGCTGATGACAGAATCTGTGTCCAGGGTCCCTCTCTCGCTGAAACTGGCTGCTGTCCCTATGAAGTGTGATGCGATGCGGCGCGGATGCGGAATATTTTGACAGGGCTGTTGGGTTTCCATCAAAACTTCAGCAGAGTTCTTTCAAATTGGAGTTGGGGGTGTGTAGTGGTCCCCACAGTTGGTGGAAGTAGTGTACTGACTACAGCGAACAGGCAACAAAACCTTAGTACCTTGAGCTGGCACTGGCAGGCAAGGCGTGCACATGTCTGGTACCTCGATCCGTGGCCTCAAGCTAGTAGATACCTTATGTACACTACATTAGGCAGTAGGTAATGTAGGGACTGGGGCCCGTGCATGGCGATATGGCTGATAATGTAAGTACATCATCATAGCTGTAGCCGCCGCAGCTCTACTTTGCACCCCGATTCGTCAAGGCAAAAACAGAACTCAACAGGTAACTGAATGGAGTACATAATTGGCGAGTGTATGTATTGCACGCATGCAATGTATAGAATGTCATGTCTACTATAATCATCATGGCACATGTGTAGTAGATATGCTATGCAATGCAGCCCAGCGTTTACTCATCGCACACCTGCCTAGGTACGGATGCTAATGTACATACATTACCTGGTGAACCTAGCAGTTGCAGCGCAGCGCAGCAATCGCAAACCAACCCTGAAGCGAGAGAGGATCCAGATTGCGACCAAGATGCACTGGATAGGCATGAAAAAACTGTCCGGCGCGGCGTTTTGTCAGGGGAAAGAAGATTGACCAGATACTGAAAAAAGAAACTCCATACATTCAATCAAGACAAGTATAAATGTCGGTTCCACGTTCAAGAACAATTTTTAAGGTTTCCGGATGCATCTTCCGCGGGTGACACAGCAGAAAAACCAGCCGGAGTGCATCAATGACTTGTTGCCTTTCGCTCCAACCAAAGAACCGCCCAGATGTCTGTTTCTTCTTCTCGTCCCCTTAACCCTCCAATCCCGTATTCGCTGAACTGGGGGTCATCATGATTTGGCCTGCCATTGAACCTGCTCCTTTGACCCTCCTCCTCCCCCTCCCCTGGTCCAGTCCTCCGGCGTTAAACACCCCCAGAGAACCTGTTCATGCATTCAGTATCTTTGACTATTTTCCTGCCTATACGAACTATCTTGGTACATACCCAGCATACAAGAGATCCAGTCGGCAGCATTCTTTTCAATCTAAAAGTGGGCGTTCTCTGAGTTGCTGCGTCCTGTACACTACAGTAGTATGTATGCATGTGCAAACTCCATAACCGCCCTCTTGGTCGATCCTCGAAATCTCTCCATGGCATCGTGAATGCTGCAAGCACTGGGTCCCCTGGCTCGACTCTACTTTCATGTAGGGAGAGAGGGGTGGGGAGCTAGCTTGACGCCGAGTGGTCGGGCTGGGTCAGTAAAGTAGGTAGTATTGGGCCTTGTCCCATCAGTGCTGTCCTGTCTGCTGCTGTCGACCTTCGTCATTCGGTAGCAAGGTCTCAAGGGCTCTCCCCGAGTACCATACATATATCGGCCGGCAATGTTTCAATCGTACCTCAACACGTCGCAATCTGATTTGATCGTCTGCTGCACGACAGCCTATGATATGTGAAAGAATTCAAGCCCCCCTCTCAGACACGAGTTCACCGCTGCTTTCCAAAAGGCATCATCATACAGTGTCACGGTCAATCTGCTGTGTTTTCCTGGCTCTCACTCCATGTCTCTGCTTCTTGGACTCGCCTCTGATAATGTATTCTGACGTGCTGCCGCATACGGGCCCCCCGCGGGCGATGCTAGTCTGCCGAATCCGTCGCACCGGCCTTGTGCTCCGCTCGGTGTGCCGTTTTCTCTGCACCGTACATGATCATGAACGGGAGTGAGCCAGTTGGCTGGAACGTTCGCGCAAGAGTATGGAGCTGCAAGTTCATGCCCAGGGGTGCGCAGTTCCATCAGGCCTCGAAGCAGGTACATCGAATCCGTGTACTGAGAATCAATCCACATGTACTGCCCACCGACACACGCATCCATTCAATTGAATGAACAAAATATGCACTGTATCGAAGTTGATCTAACCCAGAAGCAAGAATCCATAAGGTAGATTATAGTTCTACTACATCACTAACCAGTGACAAGACTAGTAATGAAGCCTCTGGAATATGGAACAAGACAAAAGCAACGCTGGTCCGCAAACAATAATCCCAATCGCCCCAAAGAATGAGGCTCCGCTACATGGCCAACAGGTCAACTTATCCTCTGCGTAATTCATTGCCTGGCCTTTCTACATGTGTGCCACCTTCAGCCTTGCGTCCGGGGAGGTTCCTCCATGTTTCGAATATCAACGGAACATACCAAGGCCAACCTCGTTCATGTTTGGAGCCTGGCCAATTTGGAGTGCCGTCAGTCGTCCGAGCAGTCCTGTGAGTTTTGGCAAGATGAACAATTTTAAGTGATCACAGTTGAACCCTTGGGGCACTCTCTCATTGAACAAGGCGATGTCCCGCCTCACAAGACCGATCAATTTCGCGATTCTTCCTTGATTCCAAAATTGTTGGTATCCCAAGGTATCGCCGGAAAAGTCAAAAGCCTCTGGCCGCACGATGGCGATTGGCGTCAAGAAGTCGTAGAGGTGGTTATGGCACTTGGATGTAAAATATAAGTATGCAAACTCCCTTGTTGGTAAAGATGGTCTCTCAGTGCCTGCGTACGCCCTGTTAAGTTCGTCGGCTATGTTGTTTTCGTGGAAAAACCGTTCCTAGAATTTTCTCCAGAAAGAAAAGGGTATCTTGAGGTGATAAAGTGGGCTTCTCAAAGCGACATCAATACTTGGTACAGAATTGGAATGAGGGTGCGATGCTGATGCTGATGATGCTGATGATGGCAAGGTCTCCGTGTATCTGCACAGCCAAGCGTAGCGAAACATGTGAAAAATGTTCATATCATAGCTGAATCTATCGAGGAGCTCAGTGCCATGGGAAGTAGAGATGTCGCGCCAAAGTGAATGTATTATGTTAAAGTATTCCTCATCCGACATCAGTGCATCAGTCGGGGGTTGGGGTGGTTCCTCGGACGTAGTAGTTCCTCGGGCCATACCACTGCCATCGCTGCTTTCGGAGGTGATGAGCTTCTTGAAATCAGCCATCAGATCCACCCATTCCCCATCATCGGGTACTGATTTTTCCTGAGACGACTCGATGTCGTTGGGTACCATGACCCATTCGTCATTTTCGGATTCTGGCTGGTTGGAGGCCATGGCTAGATCCTGTAATCTTTACAGAAACAGACTCTTTCGTGTGAGGAATTGCTGACAAGAATGGAAACGAATTACTTTTCTGGGAAAAGATGAATGAATTCCTGAATGGTAGCAAGAACTGATGGAGCACTGAAATAATGTAAACAAATTTGGTTGAGGATGAAAGAGGGAGAAGAGGAAGAGGGACACTGGGACGACCGTGGGGATTTTGAAGGCTTCGAAAGTGCTTGGAGCTAAGGTGAACGAGAGGGAAGGTACCGAGGAAGCTATCAGTCGTGGATTACAGCACATGTTCCCCTGACGAGGCAAGAATCGTCAGCACTCTCTAGAACATAAATGGAGAGAAAAGGCGATTCAAACGTGCAAGATCGTTTCGGAGGAGGCGGTCCTACCGTGAGCTTGTCGACCTCATGCCTTCTTCATATCACCAATACCTGGCTCAAGTCAGCGTTATTCACGGAAGCTCTCACCCAGCAGGATGTGTTGTTTGATTGTCTCCTCCTTGATGGTTACTGGAAAGTACTGCTTGCAGCTCCTGGAAAGGACTCATTAGTGCACGATGTCGCTCGTGACTGTCGCTACAGTGATTGTCCGTTTCTTCCCAGATTAATATTACCAATTGATTGCCACATTCTAGTCAAAATAGTTGGACTCGACAGTAGACCATAAAGATAAACCTGGGCCAAACTGAGAATATGTTGTAGCTCAACCTCTTCAAAAATGTGACCAGAAGTATCGTTCAGACCGATCGTTGACAGCATGAGAGCATGAAGATGAATCGTTTGATCCAAGCAGAGATCGTATCACGAGCTATTACGATTGGGAAGACGGTTGTGCTGAATTGAAGATACACAATGAACAAGCTCACCACAACAACTTCCGGGACCCTACAAAAATGCGGCCTATGATCAATTCACTACAGGGCGCCATCTCAGAACAGCTCGATCGAACATTGATCATCGCCAATGTGACAGTGTAAGTCAAGGTTCCAATTCTCAAGAGAGTTTGAGTCCGACTCTCCTCTGCGATTGCAAATCTGCCTCGTGGAGATCAAAGACGCCTGCTGAACTAGACATCTTTCAACAAAAACAATGTGTAAGAGGCCGCTAATATCAAGTATTTACCTGTCTTGAGCCACTCCACCAACTCCAAGGCTGCAGTATCCGAAAAACTTCTCTGGGGTAGTCAATATTCGAGGCTTGTGAAAGGCGAATATGGTGACAAATACACTCATTCAACGTCGTTACTCACGTTGCATGTTTCCCAGTAATTTGACACCAATGACAAGCGCCACCCAACCATGAGCTGCCCAAAACCAGGTTGCGCGAGTATAAAGTATCATCTTCTTCTTCGCAATGAATCACGCAAGAGAAGTGCATGGCACAAGAGCTTAGCTAGTTCTCATTGACATGGCAAGTGTAGATCCACATCCTTGACACATCATGCATTTGAAATTGAAGAGACCCAGTACGCAGGTCTATCTTTATATTTATTTAAATCAAGCCCAATGTACATCATGATCCAAATGGTCGTTGCGCCATCTATGCCTTCACCTTGCCGTAGCCAGCCTGCACCAGAATCCTAACATACCAGCCATGAAGAAACGTAATCTTGGGCGGCACCGTGTGCTCGGCGTCAGCCGGGAACTCGCCGGCGCTGTTGAACAGGGCCGACTTGAGACTCAGAACGGCCTCCTGCTTCTCGCGGTCGATGCGGGCACTGATGAGAATGAGACCGTCCGAGTTGCGCAGGCCCGGGTTGAGGAGCGGCGAGCCACCGCACCGGATGGCGATCTGGTTGCCCGAGTTCTCAACAACCTCAAAGTGATTGGCGATGGGCAGACCCTCCTCGTACTTGGACTCGGCCAGCTCCGAGGTCGTCCAGATGTGGTGCTCCGAGCCGGGTGGAGCGTCGTAGCGCTTTTGCAGCTTACTTTGCGGCCAGAACCCTACAGACTCGGCGTCAGCAATTGTGTAACATGAAGAGTGTATCGGTAGGAACGCCTCCAAACATAGGTATCCGGCATTTAAAGGAATCTCATCTCATACCCCATCGACCCCATATACCACGGCAGAACTCGAGCGTCAAGGCCTCCTCGTTATCCCGCAAGTCTGGGCGAATCTTGCGCAGGGGCACGCGCTTGATGCAATCATCAATAAGAGCCGGGTTGCTCTTGGGATTGTACTTCGTGTACGTCTTGGTCTTGAACCACGGGTCACTCTTGGTCAGGTCGACCAATGTGGTGCCAGACGCGAGATAGGCCATGCCCGCGCCTACACTGGCCACGCCACCCGTGAAGCCCAACACTCCGAGTCTCACTGCGAATCGAATGATACCCATGATTTTGATGGAGGAAATTAATGCTTGATACTTTGAAAGTAAACTCTCTCTCTTAGACGACCGTGTGAGTCTCCTCCCAATCGCCTCAATTGAGGTACTGAGCACGAGGCTAATGTGGGTCAAAAACGAGCTGATCCACAAACGGGGCTATGTACGTCACTATCGTCGTGGAGGAGCGTTCTCTGCCCTCAAGCGAGAGAAGTCTGTTAGTGCTCTACTTGCGCCGATAAGCTGCGGGACGAACCGTCGCAATTTCAAAACCCGAATTCCCGACGCTGTCATTTTCTTGAACCGGCGTCCTTCGTGATAGTCGGCCCTCATGAGATGGAAACATCGTCGCACGCTGGGCGTGATGCAACACACATCTCTGGACGGTATCAACAGTGAGTGCTTTGGCATCACCTAATAAGTATGCCACCTACCGACGGAACTGAGGCTGCGCAAATCTTGCAATGGCGGGCACAATCAGGGAAAATGCAGAGGCATTTTTGACCGCTGGATATTTCGTCAAAGTATCAATCCGCCATGAAAACCTGGCTAACAAGAAATGACAAACAATCCACTGTCGCGTTTGATGACAGGAGCGAAAATAGTTTACTCAGGGCAACCCACGTCAGCTGTAGGTTCCCGCGTATGGAACTGGTGGAACTTTCCAGTAGCCTTGCCAAACGTTCTCTTGCGGAGGCTTTGGCAACACGGCCTCTGCTCCACCCCTGGGACGCCGACTTCAGTGTCTCCGTACGGGGGAAAAACAAAACATGGGCAGCAAAGAGCCCCGTCCCTCGTGTAGCACGAGCATATACACGCATTGGACTCTCCCAGCTCGGAAGCACCGTGTATCGAACCACTTGGCGCCAATTATCACACGCGGAGAGCCATTTGCGCAGGGAAAGAAAAACAAGTGCCGCCTTGCCGGTAAGCCATCTTGAGCTGCATGTGTTTGTTGATATATGCAAGATCAGATGCAGGGATGTTTGGAGGCTGTGATCTATGGGATTCATGAAAAAAAGCCTTGGGTCTCGGTACTCGCCAACTCATCCCTGCCATCACCGACCCAACAGTCAAGTCACAGTAGCAGATGGAAACCGTGTGCGGCGCTCTGCGTCCTTGGATGCGTGGCTAGGCTATATTAAGGACAAGGTGCAAGGTTTGGGCCTTCGCCCTCCGAGCATATGGCACCAGCGTGGCATCCGTTGATCGATCTACGATTAGATTCTCGGTCGGTTAGATCCGAGACAGGTCAAGGAACGCTCGGTGATCCGGGAGCAAGTGGGAATTAACAGTGGTTGGGGTAGACTCAAACGACATATCAGCCTCTAAATCTTCCCCAGATTGTCACATGGCAGATGGGCGCGCAAGTACGCAGTACTCAGGTCATGTATGGAGATGGCTTGTGAGGGGCCCCGAACTATGTGAGACTGTAGGGCTGTCGGCGCCAATGTCTTGTCTTGATATGGGGAATGCTTGGTTTTTGGTATACGACGGTGGCCCTTGAAATAAGGTCAAAAGAGAGACTTTGGGATCCTTGGTAAAACACTATGGTAAGTAGCCGTTGCAGTCTATTAAACGCTCCCGGTGAGCTTATTTGTTGGTCTTGATCTGGGGAGCCTGTCCAAAGGGCTATTGCCATTGATGCGCAATGCACTGATAATCCAACATTCAAACGAGCTGTGTTGGAATGCCGCAGATGATGGAACGATACAGATGTGTAAAGTCGGATCAAATTGCCGAGTCGTAGTCTACCGCGTACGAAATGATCCTTCAACGGGATATTATTTTTGCTGCTGTTTCCACAGTATATTGCCCTTCGGCACATCTCATGAAGTGTGCATTTCGTCATGCTGTATACTGAGCACGTTTAATTATTCAGCAATTCATTGATCTTCGTGTATGACACAGATCCAACGTCCAGACAAATCTGCAAATGTGGGTTTCAAGATGATAGATTGTTTGTTGTTGTCAGGCACATGCAGAAATGACATCACAAGAGGAAATCGGAGGTCCCCGCCGAGGCTCAACAAAAGTTGCTCTTTGGATTGCAACCGACGATGGAGTCAAAAAAGCAGTAGGCAGGCAGGTGCAAAACATGGGCAATCAAGGCCGCGGCTGGCCGAAAAGGTGTCAGCTGAGGAAAATAAATCAGGCTTGTCAGGATTGCGGACCAGAATCTCCGGTTACATGTTTCCTGGGCCACTGCTTTGCATCTTTCCGGTCGGTTGCCGGGTGCAGCTGGAAGGCAAAAGGGATCATCAAAGAACGATGACATGCCTACGCCCTGATCGACGCAGACACGACAGCAACTGCCCCTTGTTAGCGATATTCAGGATCTCGATCTGAAATAGCATTCAGAGCAATGGAACTTGTCGCTAGGCCGGTCCAGAGCTCATGAGGGGCGACGGCTCGGCACTATACCCCACGCTGAAACCGAATGGTGATGTCATGAGCTAGCCCTAAACCGATAAGCATGATCTACTTTGCACCAATCCCGTTTCCCGGAACCATTGACAGCTCCCCGCCCGCTGCATGCAAGTCAGGCACCATATTTGAGATTGCTCGAGCTTCTATCCATGTAGCAAGCTCAAGTCAGTCTGGTGTCTCCTGTCTTGTCTTGCCTGTCGCCCAGAGGCCATAGGTCTAGGCCGAGCTATTTGATTGCATAGGTGTTCAAATGTCTGGAACTGATCTAGTGTAATGCATGTACTCCATGGCAGGAGACCAAGCCGAAACAGAAGCAAATCTGTACATTGGTAGGGCTCATAGCTATTGAACACGAATAGGAGTTTTAGAATAGCCGTTGTGAATGCCTCGGCACCACAGGTGAATACCGATACCTTAGCAATGGTGAATAACAATGGGGCAGATGTTTCAAGGTGAGATAAAGGGTGTGAATGTCAAACCCTCAACAAACAGTGGTGGTGGTGCGTAGACCTGACGTCACGGCTACATACCTCTGACATTTGCAACTCTAGCACATGTCCGGACAATCTCCATCACAAACGACTCGCAATCTTACCGACCTTGTATGGAGTGGCGGCAACTGTGGCACATTGCATGTATTCGACGCCCGATAGTCGTATCCACAAGGCTTGAGAGAGGGGCTGGAGGGGCAATAGCTTGTCCCCCAAGCCCAGTTCCATCCGTTGTACTGTGTATGTAGTCCATCGTGTGCTATTCAGCCTAGATTGCCCCGTGCTGGTCTTTGCCCATTCGTCAGCCCGGAGCAAATGGGCCACTCTTCTGCCTCATCCAAGGTTCATGTTGGACAAAGGGAAACTGCACATAGAGAAAATGACGTAACTCTCTCTTTACCATGTGACTGCAATCGCGGGGCCCTTTGCTAGGTGGTGCATGAGAAAAGCTACTAGGCAAGTACGCAAGCAGCAACCAAGCAGCCGTGATGTACCTTCACAGGTCTATGATGCTGCAAGTGTACCTCAGCCAGCCAAGCCCCATCCAAAGCTCAAAGGCACGTAGACAAGCTTCAAGGCAGCTCTTGCTCTTGCCAAACAAACAACCATCACAGCTCCCCAATTGAATACTTAAACTCCCAAACCTCCCACCTCTAGCATTCTTTTTTTCTTCTCTCATCATCATCAACACAATCCTCAAGTCTCAATCAAACAACTTCACAAAACCAAACCAAAACCCCAAACCACCATCACAATGGACAAGATCAACAACGCCGCCAACTACGTCGCTGACACCGTCAAGGGTATGTGACACTTACACCTCCAACAACCCCTTCCATTCCACGAGACTAACATATCATTTTCAGGTGCCACCTCTACCGGTTCCAAGGAGGCCAACAAGCAGGTCGCCAAGGACGGCAACGCTGACCTCAGCACCCGTCTGAGCGCTGGCAAGGACGCCATCGGCGACAAGGTCGACGAGCAGAAGCACAACGCCTCTGCTGACGTCCACAAGGAGGCTGCCAAGCACTAAATGCACCTCTTCTCTCTCCTACTCTTCAACATAAGCGTACGATGGAATGACTGGCATGAATTTTTATGGGCGCTGGATCATGGAACATTAATATGAAAGCATGGGATGGTTTCACGATGTGTCCTCAGTGGCAAGGCATAGATACCCCAAGACCTCGGTAGTCTAAATACACCAGCCTTTGCAAACCCACAACCATATCTTTGATGCGTGATACCATAGGTTGAGTCGAGAGTGACTAATATCTTTTTCGTTGCAACGATTGCCATAAATGGTACGTTTTGGTGGATGGTTAGTAATTTGGCATTGACAGCTTGGGGTTTGTCCGTTTGCAAAACAGCTTAGTTGGAAAGGGTTCGATCTGGATTGTCTGTTCGTTATGCTCAACATGACATTGGCAGGAACGTAATACCATTGGCAACTGTCCCAAGCTCCAGCACACGAGTAGTTCCTTTTGCTATGAATGACAAGCATGTACAATATACTAACTCCTCAGTGCCGGCCGATGCTGATGTGGTTTCCGCCAACGCCACATCCATCCCTTCCCATGAGGTCGATATTGAATAGACCATTGTACCATGACATGTTCAAAGCGTTCAAGAACTAATGAAGCTTGCAGGTAGAAGTCTACCTGGGTTCGTCAAAGATTATCCCCAATTGCTTAACTATTGTGTTGGCCAACTTGCAGCGATGGTGAATTCGTCCTCCAATATTGTCCAAGACTCGAGAAGTTCACGATCAGGTCTCTTGAATGTGGGGCAATCCGACCGCGACTCAGCTGTGCGGATTTATATTAATCCCGAGGTTGTCGCGTACCATGTATGGAACTGAGGTCCACCGCCATGAACGTACCTCAAGCTCAAGACCCTCGCGGGGCGACAAAACTCGACGGCCGGGGCCAGGTGAAGGCCTCGAAGGTGGTGGTGCTGGAAGCGGAAATGAGTGGGTCCATGTCTTGACGGGCGACCAACCATGTCCAAAGTGGCTCGTGCGACTATTCCAATGAGTGGCTGATTGTGGAATTTTGCCCACAGAAATCACAATTTCCAGCCAGCACGGAAATTCGCTTCTCTTTCGACGAAATTTTGAGACTTCACTTCCAGAACCCCCACGACAACCCAAAACACCGTCAAAATGCCTAAGGAGATCGGAGACATCAAGCAGGTATGTCAAAATGCTCTCCCATGATTTTTCTCTGCTTGAAATTGTGTGCTAACATTGCGTTTCTGTTTCTAGTTCATTGAGATCTGCCGCCGCAAGGACGCCCAGTGTACGTTTTGATACGAATAAGGGAGACGAGAGGCAACTTTTGGCGCTCAACGAGAGGACGATGGAATCCGGCGCTGACATTTGAACCCCATAACAGCCGCGCGCATCAAGAAGAGCAAGGGCACCAACCTGTCCAAGTTCAAGGTCCGCTGCTCGCGCAACCTGTACACCTTGGTTGTCAAGGACTCCGACAAGGCCGAGAAGCTCAAGCAGTCTCTTCCTCCTAGTACGATACATCCCCATGCGTTCGTTGCAGTCGGGTCGCATACTAACTCAGACGTCCACAGACTTGCAGATCAAGGAGGTCGGCAAGAAGAACAAGAAGGGCCAGCACACCGCATAAGTCTTGAACATGGCTTGATGGAACTCTGGTGCTAGAAGGGGGTTTAAACTGGAAGAGGAGATGACAGACTGCATGTCTCTCTCGGCATGGCTAGGAAATCATGATGCATGAAGCATGATGCCCGAAAAATGGGCTGGTTCGGCGTCCACGGATACCTTTGGATCGAGGCTCATGAACCAAGAAGGCATGCAGCTGACGTTCTCAAACAAATCAAACAAAATTTTGACGAAACATTCTCAACGATTCCGTACTGAAGCCTTGAAGTGCATTGCCAATAATGCCACGACCTACGGTGTGTGGGAGTAGATTGGGCAGAGTGAGGTTTCAATGGTCTGGTCACAGTAATGCAGCCAACTTCCAACGTGATATACATGATTCGACAACCATGTGCAGATGTTCAACGTTTCGACCCGACCTCGAATTGCTTCAAGCGGTCTCAATGAATGCCTGCCAGGACAGTACATGTGGCGTCTCAGACGAGATTCGATTGATTTTTACCCAGCTTGTTTGAAGGAACCATGTACTGTGATGCCTGATTGACGTGCAATTACGGGGTGTTGAACTTGGCTGAATGCTCCCACGGCGTAATGATAACTCGCGTCTGACAATATTTGTGGTGGTTAACGCCCAGTCGAGTTGGTTCCTCAACATCGTGGAATGTTTCGAGGTAGAACCCAAGTCTATGAAGAATAGGGGGGAGGAATCTTATAAGACGTTGAAAGTAGGTGGAATAAGAAAACGTTAAATCCAAACAAAAGAACGTGCGTCCTCTTTTGGCATGTAAGCTTCTAGGCAGCCAATGGTAGTAAAAGTCAATGCCATCTTGGCCAGCTATACCACTGCCCATTCGCCAACCCGAAGGGAAACGAAACCACTTAAGGTGGCCCCACCTTGAGACCCCGGTCGTCACGTCACGACGCGCGAGCACTCAATTGTTAGACGCGCCCTTCCATTGCCTGTACTCTTTTTTTTCCGAATCTGCTGTCACGCCTAACAACAACACCACTCGACACTCTTTTTTCTTGGTGAAATGTTCTTGGGATACTGCTAAAGCTCACATTATCCTCCAGTTTCCCAGATCGCAACCATGAGTGCCGCCGCCACGTTACCGCAGAAGCGTGTCTTTGGCGGGGCCCGTCCTCCTTCATCGCCGGGTACCAAGAAGAGGCGCCTGGAACCGCTCACCTCGTCGCCAGCGTCGCGTCTCAACAGCTCACAACCGGCTCCAGGCAGCAAGCTCGGATCTGCCCAAACCAAGAGCACTTTCGAGTCAGAAGTCCTCGAGAAGCTCAGCCAAGATATCTCCGACCTCAAGCAGAACAACTCGGAAAAGGACCAATCATGGGAACGCCCACCCGTCACCGACTTCAACCCGAAACGTGACAACCTCACGTTTCAACAGATCGAGGCCGAGGAAGGCACATTGCATGGAGGCAAAGCTACAGTCAAGCTCTTTGGTGTCACGGAGAATGGCCATTCCGTCATGCTCCACGTTACCGACTTCAAGCACTACTTATACGTCGCCGCGCCCGTTTCCTTTCAGCCCAAGGACTGCGAGCCTTTCAAGGCATTTCTCGAATCCCAAATAGCCCAGCATCAGCCCGCCATCTACTCCTGTCAGCTGGCTTTGAGAGAAAACATTTATGGTTTCCAAGGCAACACCAAGAGCCCATATATCAAAATCACCGTCACGGACCCCAAGTTCATCAACAGGGTCCGCTCCACGATCGAAAAGGGCGATGCAAACTGGAAGGGAATGTGGAAAGGGGCAGAGGGAGATATCATGACCTTTGACAACCTACAATATGTCTTGCGTTTCATGGTTGATACCAAGGTATGATATTGATGTCCAGGCATGCGTGCAATTGACACAAGCTAATGTGTTTTCCAGATTCCTGGTATGTCGTGGGTCGAATGCCCAGCGAAACAGTACAGCCTTATTCCCGAGCAAGAGAAACAATCCAACTGTCAGATCGAGGCCGAGATTCCCTACACTCATCTCATCTCACACGAGCCGAAAGGAGAATGGTCAAAGATGGCGCCTCTCCGTATTCTGTCATTCGATATCGAGTGCGCTGGCAGAAAGGGTATCTTCCCAGAGGCCGATATGGACCCAGTCATTCAGATTGCCAACGTTGTGACGCGGTATGGAGAGAGCAAGCCCTTCATTCGAAACGTTTTTTGCTTGGACACGACCAGTCCAATTGTGGCAACACAGATTCTGGACTTTGACAAGGAACAAGATATGCTCATGGCATGGAAGCACTTTCTTGACAAGGTTGATCCTGATCTCATTACTGGCTACAACATTGCCAATTTCGATTTCCCCTACCTCTTGGACAGGGCCAGACATCTCAAGTGCAAAGACTTTGACTACTGGACCAGACTCAAGAGCGTAAAGTCGCAAGCCAAGGAAACCAACTTTTCGAGCAAACAGATGGGCAACCGCGACACGAAAGCGACCAACACCAATGGTCGTCTGCAACTCGATCTGCTCCAGTTGATCCAGCGCGATCATCACCTCCGCAGTTATACACTGAATTCCGTCTGTGCTCATTTCCTGGGAGAGCAAAAGGAGGATGTTCACCACACCATGATTACCGAGTTGTTCAACGGTACACCGGAATCTCGCCGAAGATTGGCTCTGTACTGTTTGAAGGATGCCTATCTTCCACAACGATTAATGGACAAGTTGTCTTGTCTGGCAAACTACACGGAAATGGCCAGAGTCACGGGTGTCCCTTTCAACTTTTTGCTTTCCAGAGGTCAACAAATCAAGTTCTTGAGTCAACTTTACCGAAAAGCACTGGAGCAGAAGCTGGTCATTCCAAACATGCGGTCACAGGGCTCCGATGAACAGTATGAGGGTGCCACAGTCATTGAGCCTACTCGTGGATACTACGATGTGCCGATTGCGACTCTTGATTTCGCCTCGCTATATCCGAGTATCATGCAGGCCCACAATCTCTGCTATACAACGCTGATCAATGCGAGAGCAGTGGAGAAGTTTGGGCTGAAGAAGGACGAGGACTATATTGTGACGCCAAATGGAGATCTTTTTGTCACCACCAAGCAAAGAAAGGGTCTGCTCGCTCAGATTCTGGAGGAATTGCTCATGGCTCGAAAACAGGCAAAGAGGGAGCTCGCTGTGGAAACTGATCCATTTAAAAAGGCTGTGCTGAACGGTCGCCAGCTTGCCTTGAAGATCAGTGCCAACTCCGTGTACGGTCTGACTGGTGCCACAACTGGCAAGCTTCCTTGTCTCGAGATTGCTAGTAGTACCACTAGTTACGGTCGACAAATGATTGAAAAGACAAAGGACGAGGTCGAGAAGAAGTACTGCATTGCCAACGGCTATTCTCATGACGCCCAGGTCATTTACGGTGACACTGATTCCGTCATGGTGAAATTTGGCACTACAGAACTGGCCGAGGCAATGAAACTTGGCGAAGAGGCAGCTAACTACGTCTCATCCAAGTTCATCAAGCCGATCAAGCTTGAGTTCGAAAAGGTCTATTTCCCATATCTACTCATCAACAAGAAGCGATATGCTGGATTGTACTGGACAAAGACGGAAAAGTACGACAAGATGGATACCAAGGGTATTGAGACAGTTCGACGTGATAACTGCCTTCTCGTTCAGACTGTCATTGAAAAGGTTTTGAGAATGATCTTAATTGATCGGGATGTACCAGGTGCACAAGAGTAAGTTTCCTACGGAGAGATCGGTCAGAATGGAGAGGCTGATACTTGACAGATACGTCAAAGACATGATTGCAGATCTGCTGCAAAACAAGGTTGACATGTCGAAACTGGTCATTACGAAAGCTTTGACAAAGGAGGTCTATGACGGCAAACAAGCACACGTCGAGCTTGCAGCACGAATGAAGAAGCGAGATGCTGGTTCGGCTCCTGGCCTGGGAGACCGAGTTGCATATGTGATGATCAGAGGTGCAGCAGGAGCCAAGAACTTTGAAAAGTCCGAGGATCCGATATACGTCCTTGAGAACAACCTTCCCATTGACACCAGGTACTACTTGGACAACCAGCTTGCCAAACCCCTGGGCCGTATCTTTGAGCCCATTCTCGGCGAGACCAAAGCCAAGTCGTTGCTCACAGGAGACCATACCCGCTCCATATCCGTTGCAGCTCCAACAGTCGGCGGTCTCATGAAGTTTGCCAAAAAGACCATGACATGCATGGGTTGCAAGAAACCTCTGGTCGGCAAAGAAGAAAGTGCTGGTGCAGTCTGCTCCAACTGCGCGCCGCGAGTTGGAGAGCTGTACAACAAGACACTGGGCAGAGTGTCGGATCTTGAGGTTCGATTCGGCAGGTTGTGGACGCAGTGCCAGCGATGCCAGGGCAGCATGCATTGCGAGGTCATCTGCAGCAGCAAGGACTGCCCCATCTTCTACATGCGCATGAAGGCCAAGAAGGACCTCGAGGATGCTGGTAAAGAGCTGAAGCGGTTCGACTTGGACCAGGCAGCCATCTGGTAGTATGACTCTGGGATGTTTCATCCTGGACGCCGTCAGGACATGTTGTTTGAATCAAGCATTAGTAGGGCGCATGGAGTTAACGGGGCCGTTGATCTGATGATTAAAGGAGATGTTTAGATCAAGAGGAGCAAACACTCTTCAATATGGTTAGTGAAAGCTATGATATATTTATTCATGATGTGCGTTTGTCGCCCAAAGTAGTTGTAAGCAATATACCACGTGTAATCAAGAATGAGTCTTGATGATACTTTTTGCTCTTGGTGTTTCAAGGCTCGAATACAGTTTTCCATCATTCTTGTGTGCGAGAAAAGTCGATATTGGAAGCTTGATGCTCAGTGGAACATATGAACTCGAGCTCGAGATATGCATTGCCCTTGTCATGGTGGAAATATGGAACGAGGGCAATCCGGATGGCCGGTTCACGGAGAAAATGCACAAGACGGGGGGATCCACCTACATACTCACTCTACCATGATATTGCCCGCAGTATTTCCTCCGATCTATAATAGCTCGGACGTCGGAATAAATAAAATAGGATAAAAAGGCGAGGAAGCATTGGGATGCAGGGAAAATGTATTCCATAGGGTATCCACATGCACATGCACAAAATTCACACTAGTGCAAGCGTCCCCATGACACTTGATATTTTCCACCATTGTACTTGCATAGGTAGCTTTGGTATGCACAAAAAAATAGATATGCGCAGTCAAAGGAGATAATTGGTCCGAGCCGATCCTTTTGCTTCGCTTTCACTGCACAAGATGGAACATTGTCAAACCACCATCCTTCGGGGAGCGGCGCCTTGCTTCAGCTTCTTCATTTCGTGAGCTCCGAGTCCGGCGCAGCAGAAGGAGGGAAACATGGGAGGCGTAATAAGAGGGGAGGGGTTTGGTTGAAGGAGCGGGTGCAAGAGAGGGAAAAAAAAAAAGGCGGTGATGGAGTGCAGAAAAAATTGTAAGAACTCTTTTACCGATCTACGGAAGACTATAATCGGGAATTAAAAGACGAGCAAGATAATGTGGTTGGCTGAATGGACGAGGAGAAGGTGAGCACCAAAGAAAAAAAAAAAAAACCCGGTGGAAAGAAGGAGCACGTCCCCTTTTGTGGCGGACTATACAACCTCCAGCCTCATGCATGTAAATTCTCGCCATGCTGGTGGTTGTCGATATACTAGTGTATGTATACCAGATCGTTAAGCTTGGCATCTGTCTTGTCCGTCTCTTTTATTTCTCGACTTGCATGTGCGATAACATGGATTCGGAATTTTATAATCCAATCGCACGAATGAGGAATTAATAAATCAAATAGAATAAGGTATCGAAATAACAATGGGCGGAAGAAGCACATGCCAATGCGCGAGCAAGCCATGAAATGTGGATTCTATGTGTCGCGTATTATGTGTGAGAAACACTTTTTTCGCGCTTGCATCTTGCCTGGATCTGCACGTCGCGCAACGGTTGGCTGGATCCCCAGTGGCAGTTGTCAGTGTGGTTCTGATTATCATGGCGTTTTATATTTGGCCCCTTTTGAAAACACGGCAGGGCTTCTTATTGGCCCATGAAGTAGGTTGAGGCTCATGCGAGGCTGATGCGCCTCCAGCAAAGCCCAAGTGAGGCAGGAAACATATCGAGCTTTGTAATTTCACCGGGAACGACCGATAGCGGTCAGACATACGAGAATGGGCAGAGGTCGTGTTGGATGAGCATCTAGAATCTGTCGACAAGACGGATTTGGGTGTAGAGAAGGGAGAGGGATCCGGTAGCGGAGAGTTGGTTTGGGGGGGCCAGCCAGCATGCCTTTTGGGGCGAGCGTCATTTAATGTGTTGAGGTGACAAGATGGGAAAAAAAAAACAATACTATTGTCGCCAGTAAGGCTGCCAAGTGCGGACGACATCGCTCCGTGATCACCCGTGCGGCCATGTCAATCAACGATGCGTCTCATTAAAAGCCTCCGAAGAATGGAGGGCGAAGCAGACTTCTGTGACTGTGGGGGCGCCTCGCCATGTAATTCCCACGGAGACGAGGATTGGGGGGTCTGGTAGGACAAGAGGTCAATAAGGGACAGGGACGTAAAAATGTACGGGTAGTCTCTTTTGGTAGCATTCGGTTCATAGGTAGGTAGGATTATCGAATGAAAAGATCGCGTGCGGTAGTCGGCGCCCGCAAATCATTCTGCCTAATAAATTTTTTCTTGCTTTGCTTGTCTCGATTTTTTTTTTCTGGCGCTGCTCTGGAAGCTCTTACAAAAACCAATGCCGTGAAGATTGCGTTACGCATAATGACCATCGGACGAATCAGATGTCTCTGATAAGGATCGAAGGCGTCGCTATATTAGCTCCACGCTTCCCAAGTTAGCGGCCGGGGTTTTGCACTAGCTTACCGACGACACTGAGACGATCCTGGGCCTGCGCGTGCTCTTCAGGCCTTCAGCCCACTGCGCGAATCTACCACGGCATGGCTTGGCTCCAGATCTACCGACTTTGGGGGGTCCAGCTACCGTCATCCTACGCTGCCAATCCCCCATCTACGCTTGTTTGCCATCTTGTTATTGCCTATGTCGGTGCCGATTTGGGCGTGATCGTCTGTATTTTGTAAAATGTAGTCTGTGTAGTGTATGGATTAGGTTGGCACACTTAATGTACGGCTACGGGCGCCAGTCCAGATGGGAAGAAAAAGGTAAGTGTTTGGCACCTGCTTGGGTGGCTTTTCCCTGGTAGCCATAGACATGGTGAGGTCATATCTGATAAGCGAGATATACTTTTCGTCTCTGGTGGTTATCAGATGACAGAGTTTCGCCGTGTCGACAATAATGAACCATATGTCCAGGGTCACTCATCAATCAGTCAATGGGAACAAAGAGGCGTCGTCTCGTCTGGACCCTAGTGTTGTTTGGTGCAATGCAGCCCGATCATAATTGCCGCATGTGAGAAGGGCCCATGTTGTCCCAAGTGCCCACGCGAGCGGTTGAGAGAGCAACATTTTTTTCTGGCCATCGATATTCCTTGGTATCGGCCACAGTTCGGAGGGTTGACAACAAGGTGGTTGTTGCAACTATGCAAGCAAATGGCCAGCCGGGTCAGTGCTTTGAGGTATAATCCAGACCAAAGAGAGACTGTCTCCGCCCCCACCAGGCCCTTGCACCCCCATGAAATGCTAATTACACCTTCCCGGCCGCCGGAGACTGTCTGTCTGTCTGTCTGATGCTGCTTAGCTACTAGTACGGACGGAGAAAAAAGGCGACACCATGACGCGAATCTCGTCCCGCAAAAGGTGCCTGCCAAATGCTATGGCCGTCTTCGGTGGCCATATGGGTGGGTTTCATTTGAGCCTCCACGGCGCCTGCTGCGGAGTGCTCGCACCTAGTCCAGCCCAGTTTATTATGGCCGATCCAGCTTGGATAGTTGCCCCCAGGGCTTTCTAGGTTTCTTTATATAAACTCGGGACCTACCTCCTCTGTTAGACTTTTGTTGCCTGGAAAACTGTCAAAATCTTTTCTCTCTCTCTTCCTAGTGATACCCATATATAAAAGCGATCTTGTCGGACTTCTTTTTGGTCCTTCTTCACCTCTTCTCCAGATATTCCTACCAGACAGACTTATTCTCACACACACACTCTGTTCATCATGTCGAACCTGCCTTCTGAGCCCGAATTCGAGCAGGCCTACAAGGGTAAGTGCCAGTCAACTGATACTATTCCGTCCAGCAGACATACTAACATGAACATAAAGAGCTTGCGAGCACCCTTGAGAACAGCACTCTGTTCACCAAGAACCCCGAGTACAAGACCGCTCTCAAGGTTGTCTCCATCCCTGAGCGTATCATCCAGTTCAGAGTCGTCTGGGAGGATGACTCTGGTAACCTCCAGGTCAACCGTGGCTACCGTGTCCAGTTCAACTCGGCCCTCGGTCCCTACAAGGGCGGTCTCCGTTTCCACCCTACCGTCAACCTGTCCATGTAAGTGTTTGAAAGAAAGTACTCATACGGGCAGCAGAAACTAATGTGCTGGCCCATAGCCTCAAGTTCCTGGGTTTTGAGCAAATCTTCAAGAATGCCCTGACTGGCCTCAACATTGGTGGTGGCAAGGGTGGAGCCGACTTTGACCCCAAGGGCAAGAGTGACAACGAGATCCGCAGATTCTGCGAATCTTTCATGAGAGAGCTCTCCAAGCACATTGGCGCCGACACTGACGTGCCCGCCGGTGATATTGGTGTCGGTGGCCGTGAGGTTGGCTACCTGTTTGGCGCCTACCGCCGCGAGCGCAACCGATGGGAGGGTGTCCTTACCGGCAAGGGCGGCTCCTGGGGTGGCAGCTTGATCCGCCCCGAGGCCACTGGCTACGGTCTCGTCTACTACGTCGGCCACATGTTGGAGTACGCCGGCAAGGGAAGCTGGGCTGGTAAGCGCGTCGCCATCTCTGGTTCCGGCAACGTCGCCCAGTACGCTGCCCTGAAGTGCATTGAGCTCGGCGCCACCATTGTCTCTCTCTCTGACTCCCAGGGCGCTCTCATCGCCGAGGGTGATGCCTCATTCAGCCCCGAAGATATCGAGAAGATTGCCGACATCAAGCTCGCTCGCAAGGCCTTGACTGCCTACGAGCACAAGGGTAGCTTCAAGTACATCCCTGGTGCCCGTCCCTGGGTCCACGTCGGCAAGGTCGACGTGGCACTGCCTTGTGCTACCCAGAACGAGGTCAGCAAGGAGGAGGCTGAGACTCTCGTCGCCAACGGCTGTCTATTCGTTGCTGAGGGTTCCAACATGGGTTGCACCCAGGAGGCCATTGACGTCTTTGAGGACATCCGCAAGGAGAAGGGTGCTGGTGCCGTCTGGTACGCCCCTGGTAAGGCTGCCAACGCCGGTGGTGTGGCAGTCTCTGGACTCGAGATGGCACAGAACAGCCAGGTAAGATATATTACCCTTTCCCCCCTGTCAAGAAGATGAACATGGCTAACACGAGAAATCTTTAGCGTCTGAGCTGGACCACTGAGGAGGTTGATGAGAAGCTCAAGCTCATCATGAAGAACGCCTTCGAGAACGGTCTCAACACCGCCAAGGAGTACGTCGAGGCCAAGGAGGGTGAACTGCCCAGCTTGGTCGCCGGTAGCAACATTGCTGGCTTCGTCAAGGTTGTCCGCGCCATGCACGACCAGGGCGACTGGTGGGCCAAGCAGTAAAGTGGTGGCTGCATAGAAACTGCCCCCATAGCCCACTTCCCTAAAAGCGACGACGAAAAAAAAAACCGATACCAAAACTCGAAATCAAAAAGATTCGGCACAGTTCCGAATCTCGATTGGATGGACAAAATGTACAATAGAATAAAGTAGAGATGCAAGTCGCGAGAAAGGCAGGTGCCTAGACACAAGCCCTCGCGACCATGACGATAATGACAATGAATGGCCTGATGATGAGGTTCTTGAAACAATGTGGCTTGGACACAACTTTTAGTGATCAAGGCTTGGGAAATACGATGGTAGCAACAAGTCCTAGATGTGAAGTTTGGAGGTCATACAAAGGCCCGATAACCTCAGTATGACACATGCAGCAACCCACCAACCCGCATCGTAGAGCCATTACATTGCTGTACCTGACATGTCGGTCGATAGGGAGAAAAAAAAAAGAGTTGTGCGATCGACGACATTGGGCAACACTGCAGACATGTCTGTCTTGCTACGGACATACCGACCCCACGCCATCTATCTTCTTCGGCACATGCATCAACTAATTGGATTCTCTATCTGCGCTTCGCTTAAGTCTCAGTGTCGTTGGCTGCTGTGACGTGAGCGTCGGTGAGGCTTTGCAAAGATCCTTCCGGCGCTTGTCTCGAGAGATTGACGCCATCTTTCGACAGTTTTGTGTGTAGCCTTAACCCCGTGGGTGCCACCAGATTGACATATATTCCCCTTTGCTGCGCATAGCCGAATGTAGGTACGGTATGCACACCAAAAAAGAAGAAGATGGCCTGGCGGTCCATTCCTCCCGTGTACGGCATCGAGATGGGGAAGTACAGTGATGTAATTGCCCCTCTCCATCCTTCTTGTCGGTTATGTACGGAGTCGTGCCATTGCGGAACATTTATTCCTTCATCTGAAAAAGAAACTATATTTGATGGAATATATGGAAAGTTGACTACGGGGATTTTCCTCCTCAGTGGGTGTACAAAATTGCCCAAAAATGGAGGTGGCAGTGCTGCTATGCTGGTTCCTGACTCTACGAAAAAAGATGCTTTGAACTTGGAGCGTTGCACGGCAGTTGTGGAGGGCGCAGCGCCCATTTTTTTTAGTTCCTACATATAGCCTGTGCTTGTTAGTAGGTACATTGTAACTTGTAAGCACCCCACCACTTTAGGTAGCCTACCTACCCCAGAACGTGGTCCGCTATCATCAGCACTAAATTTCAGAGTACGAAGTATGTAATCATGGATGATGGCTTGGAGAGTGTATTCTTAGCGCAATCACAGCACCCAGCCTGGGAAACACTGAAGGAGGCAGCTAGAGCCCTCCTGTCTGAAGAGAACTCATTAGTGGTCGGGTAAAAATGTGGTGGTAGGCAGCGGTTAGTTATCCGCAACCTGCCAGCCGACAATCCTCAATTGCGACGTTGCCCGTGCGTGCGTGTGTGTGCTATTTGTTAGCTTCGCAGGGTAGCCGGGTATCGTCTATTTTTGAACATGCAAATTAACGATTCCGGGCCCCAAGGGGGGGAAAAATGGCTTCCGAATCACCCGTATCAAGAGGCAGCTAACGCTAAAAATACGGGCACCATTAATTGTGATGATCAAACGAATATTCAATACTCAATCAGCTCTTTACCAATGGCATCGTGAGGATCAATGATCGCCTTTCACAGCTGAAAAGATTTGAAAGAACGAGGGGGCTTCACCGACCACACCCCCCTTCTTCATCCATTATCGCTTGGTCGCGGAATGACATGGTACGGTACGTATGCCCTGTGGATGTGCGCTTCTTTTCCGTTTACGGGTCTTGTACATTTCATGTCAATGGGGGCACCGACAGCTTTGCCGAGGTTTGGTTGACCGAACGGATGGGAAGAGGGAGACAAGAAGGGGAGGAGAAATAGGAGAACGCCTTGCGCTGGGCTGACCCGCGACCAATATTCCAAACTCTTGGCACCTCAGAGTTCTGACGGGATTCAAAAAGGTAAACGGGAAAGGCAAGGGAAGAGGATGTAAGAGAGGGAAAAAAGGCGCTACCCGTCTCACAAATTCTTTACATTGCCAGCTCTTTCGTGCCTGTGCCTCGCCATGGCTTGACGCCAAATCTCGTAGACGAGATGACGGGCCCCCGGTCGAGCAATGGCCCCAGGGTGATCATTGGCAGGCATGCCCGAATCCTTTACTCAGCCTTACGACGACAAATGTTACAGTATCGTACCTAGGGTAGTAAAGATTGGCTGGTTTATTTCTTCTTCTTTTCTTTTCACTATAACCTGTCTGGGTTGCATTCATTACATGCCCCGTATACTGACAAGTACGAACTTGGGGTTCGTCTATCCATCCAGTAAAAAAGTGAGGGGTTTCGAATCGACCCGATTTGGGCTCTCGGCAATTGCCATGTTGGAAACTCGACACCTGCATGGAAACATTGGCGAGGACGAAACAAACTGCAAGCGCAGGATACATAGGTACCTTGCACAGTAGTGGCAGTAGTATATTGATTGATTCATCACTTCTCTCTGCTTTGGAAATTCCAACAACATGTTCCGGAAGCACCTCAGGCCGTCAGCCTGACGTACATTGAGCTGTTTTCTCGGGAATGAAGCTGAGACCTACGAGAGAGCTGGGCAGCAACATGATTGGGTCAGCCGATTGCCTAGATGCTAGTTTGATGTTCCCCTGCCATGTGAAAATCTGAGCACAAGTCTCACCTCCCCACCCACCCGCTGGCAGGGATCCTCTTTTTTTCGTCGTCTTTTTCTGGTAATTCATCACCAAAGGAAAAAAAAAAAAAAAAAAAAAGACCCCGCGTAGTGTGGTTGACACCCACCCCCCATGAGAGAGTTCAATGGTAAAAGACAGACATGGGCCAAAGAACGCCTACATTAAGCCAGCCTCCCTGCATTATATCGGTTTGGGACCAATCACGATTATCAGCCTCGCATATGATCGACGAAGCAGCAATGGTGATCCCTCGCTCGTTTGGGGTCGTATACTTGTCCTTATCACACACTACCCAACCTCGACTAGAATCCTCTCTAGGCTGGGCCGCTGGAGATCTGGGGCTGTTTTTTTCCCAGTCACTCACTCATAGGAAATAAGGACAAAGACTCCTTTGGATGGGCTCCCCAACGGTCGGCCTACTTCCGCCGACCTGGACCTAGATGGTTCATTCCTTCATGTATTCTTGTTCAACCTCGGGAATCGAAATCCGTGTCAGTTTAAGCTTTTCGGAAGTGCTGTCTCGGATTAGCAAGGCTGATTGGTCTTGAAGCCTTTCATTATGGATTTCATCTTGTACCCGGCAAGCTGGTTAGCAGATTGTATTGTTACGTTGAATGAAGAATACAATTCCTTTCACCGAAAAAAAAGATATCGATTTCATCGCCCGCCCTCTTTTCGACCTGTGGCTCTGCAACGTCAAGGTGCAGGTAACAAACCAAACCGACTGACTGGCCCTGAACCCCTCCCACAAACCGTGGGTACGCAGAGATCTTCAGTGGCCGCCCCCCGGTTTCCGCACCGCACCAAAACGGATCCCTGAACCGAGAGAGCCCAGGAGGAGCCTTCGCGTGGCATGGACTGGGCTGAACGACGGCGCTGACGGCATTTCGAGTTAGACTGGTCCGTGGTCAGCAGCTCCCGTCTTGCGCCTTTTCGATTTGAGCAGCACCCGAATTGAATCAATAATAATAATAGCCAGCGTCTATGATCCAATTGATTGAGCGGCTTCCCCCCCCTTGTTAAACGGCTGCAGCCAGTCTCCGGCGCCCCCAATTAGCAGGATCTACCATTAACGAAATCGGGTCTAGAGAGACGGAAACCAGCCAATCTCGTGCCCATTCTACGGCATCGATTATGAACTATTCTCTTTTTATAATTTTTTTTTTCAGCTAGGACCTCTCAACCCATAAGTAGCTACCGAACGAGAAAGAAAGACCTAGAGACCTAGACGGGCCCCACGTATGCTGCGCCAGCTGCGCCCATAGCATACCCCTGGGGAGAACTATGGAAACTATCGCTGGCTCTGATGGGGTCGGAGCTGACTCCTACACGACCCTGTGGATCGCGACCATGCGAATAGCAGGCGTTTTTGACATTTTTGGACCCTGTGCAAGAACTTTCTCTAGTCATCGTACGTGCATATCCCTTTCTCACATGCGCCGTCCATCCGGTCGTCTCCCATGGCCCAGATCTAGTGATTCTGCGTGCATATCCCTTGCGCCGTTTCTCCATTAGATCAGATCTGGCAGAAGGGCATCACAAGTGAGTGGCTCCAATACATATATCAAAGACAAAATCCCACAGAGGCGGGATCCACTGAAATGGTTTACGGCCGTGGCTAAATCCACATATACACTTCTTTGTTTTCTCTCATCTCATCCTTTCCTACTGCCTACCCTTTTCATGCTCCAAATTTATCTTTTCTGTCTTTAACTCATGGCTTTAAGCTTCTATACCTCTAAAGTGTAATGAGTTCAGCTCTGAACGTGTCTCAAGATACGTGAGAGAGAAGCCGAGGCACTATACCGACGGTGCCCCATTTGCGCCTTATAACCCAGCCACCAGCGTTGCGGATTGCAACTTGGGACTCGAGAGTCTTTGACAAGCTCATTCATCCTTGACACAAAAAGCATCATGGCTCCCAGTGCTATGCCCACATCTTCGGTTGAGCCGGCCACGAATGGCGTCGGAAAGTCAACCGGAGTTAGCAATGGTTTGAGCAACGGGGATGGCAGCAGTGTGAGCAACCGATTCGAAAACAGTCATGGTAATGGACCTGTGAACGGCAATGGCTCTTCTGAACTGCCCCCTACCGCCAACGGCGAGCCTTCCATGAGACGACCCGTCACCTTTAGCGACTCTATCGACTATTCACCAGCATTGCCGTCTCCCGAACCAAGCCAGGGTGTGAGGTTTGGATCCGGCACACACCGGATTCACTCCATCGGCCGCCACGAGACCGAAGCCAGCGGGCCTGGGAGGAGCTATGCCAGAGTCAGGTCATGGGGCAAGAGTTCGAGCAGTGCACAATACCCTCGCCTCTCCAAGCCTCTAGAACTCATGCGCTCCTCGTATGACTGCGTCGTCATTGGTTCCGGCTATGGAGGCGGTGTCGCTGCTTCGCGGATGGCGCGAGCAGGACAGTCCGTGTGTCTCCTCGAGCGAGGCAAGGAACGATGGCCCGGCGAGTTTCCCGCGGAAACAGGCGAAGCTCTGGACCAGATGCACTATTCTGGCGAGTTTGCCCCTGGCTGGTTACCCAAGCAGCTCGTCAACGGAGGCGATCCCACGGGCATGTACCATCTTATTTTCGGCAATGGCCAGAATGCCGTTGTTGCTAATGGTGAGTTTGAACTCTTTGTGTGTCACGTCAGACACGGCACTTGAAGAGCGCTTACTAACGAGGTGTGCGAAACCCAGGTCTCGGCGGAACAAGTCTGATCAATGCCAATGTGTATCTAGAAGCCGATGAACAAACTCTCAAGCAAGAGTCGTGGCCACGCGAGATTAGAAAGGACCCCAAACGCGAAATGGAAAGATGTAAGATGACACATGACGCTGCTAGCTATATTGTGACGCTAGGCTGACTTTGTGCAACAGACTATGCAAAGGCCAGGAAAATGCTCGAGCCCGAAACGTACCCCGACGACTGGCCCGCGCTCCCCAAGCTAGATTTGCTCAAGAAGCAAGCAGAGGCTCTAAACATGAAGGAAAAGTTTCGAAAAGTCGAGCAAACGACACGATTCAGAAATGGCCCCAACGCTGCTGGCGTTGAAATGACACCGTCTGGCCTCACGGGCCAAGACTGCACGGGTGTCAATGACGGCTCAAAGAACTCCACCCTCGTCACATACGTTGCCGATGCTTGGAACTGGGGCGCCGAGATCTTTTGCGAGTCCGAGGTGCGGTACATCACCAAGGCGCCCGGCCGCGAAGGCTGGCTCATTTACTTTGCCTGGCACGGACGGAACCGGGGCCACTTCAAGGCCAACCTCCACGGCGACCTCATGTGGGTTCATGCCAAAAAGGCCGTGTTCCTTGGTGCCGGCGCCATTGGCACCACTGAGATTCTCTTGAGAAGTAAAGAGATGGGACTTGAAATGAGTGACCAGGTTGGCTTGAACATGAGCGGCAATGGTGACATGCTGGCCTTTGGCTACAACACGGACGAGGAGGTCAATGGCATCGGCCGTACTCATGGCTCGCCATATCACCCCGTCGGGCCTTGCATCACCGGTATAATCGACAACAGAGAAGGACATGCTAACCCCCTGAACGGCTATGTCATTGAAGAGGGTGTCGTCCCCAAAGCACTGGCGCCTTTCCTGCAGGCCATGCTGGAGCTCCTCCCTGGCAGTGTGGGCCCCAAGGACGAGGGCCTGGTTGACACTCTCAAAGCGAATCTTGCCCGCTTCGGCTCCTTCTTCCTCGGCCCCTACTATCGCAGGGGTGCCATTGAGAGAACTCAGACATACCTCGTCATGTCGCACGACAGTAACCAAGCCATGCTCACGCTCAAGGACGACAAGCCAGTGCTCGAGTTCCTGGGTGTCGGCCGCAGCAACCACGTCAAGTTCTTGAACAATATCCTTGAAAAGGCCACCCGCGCCGTGGGGGGTACATTTGTGCAGAACCCTTGGTACGCCTTGATGGGCCAGCAACAAGTGACTGTTCACCCGATTGGTGGTGCATGCCTGGCTTCCGAAGGTAACGGTGCCAGCGGAGCTACCAACCATTTCGGCGAGGTGTTTATCGGCGACGGCGCCGAAACTCACCGCGGTCTCATGGTTGTCGATGCCGCCTTGATCCCGACTGCCCTGGGCGCCAACCCGCTTGCCACCATCACTGCTCTGGCTGAGCGCTGTGTCGAGCATTACTGCCTGCGACAACGCCTCACCATCAGTGAGCAGAAGAACGGTATCCTTGACCTCTTTGGTTCTCCACAATATGATTCTCAAATCTTTGCCGAGTCGGAAGATGATCAGGATGATGTGGTTAGCATCTCGAGTGCCAGTGATGTAATCAAGTCTGCCCAGCGCATGAACGATGGCGGCTTTGGCTTCACTGAAGTCATGTCAGGTTTTATCCACCATGACCAAGGCTTGAAGGAGGAAAGCCAACAGTCGTACGATCTGGCTGCCAGAATCGCAGAGTCCAGATGCGAGTCGGCTCGCTTCTTCCTCAGCGTCCAGTCGTTCAACACGAGGTCCATTGTCCACGACCCCGAGCATAGGGCCATGCTCACGGGTACCTTTTCTTGCCCGACCATTCCTGGATCTCCTTTCATGGTGCAACGCGGAGACTTTAATCTCTTCCGCCAATACCTCGACGCCCCTGGCACCAAGAATCTCGTGTACAACTTTATGATGCGAGGCACTGATGGCAGGCTTCTCCACTTTCGTGGTTTCAAGGTCGTTGACTCTTCCGTCGCCTTGAATCCTGTCCAATTCTGGCGTGCCACCAGCACCCTATATGTCACGATCAGAAAGGCTCGATACAACGGTTACTTCCGCGAGGACATGCGCGAGGAGGAAGCTATGACAGGTACGGTCATTGCCAAGGGCATCATGAGAATCCAGCCTGCAGACTTTGCCAGTCAGATTCTCACCATGACGCCAACCGGTAGCGGGCTGCTGAAAAAGGCCATGAGCGCTGCTAGTTTCATGACCTACTTTACGCGAAAGTCATTGTCTCTTTTCCTCGCGCCCTTTACACCGCTCGAGTATCCCAGCCAGAGCTACAATGGCTACATCAACGAGACTCTACCCACGGCGACATATCAGATCCAGGCCGATGACAAGGTCATGACGCGGATGCAAATGTACGAGTCCACCAACCCGAATGTGGAAACAAAGGTTCTCTTCATGGTTCCTGGCGCCTCGGTGGACCACCAGATCTATGCCCTGCCCACCATTCGCTGCAATGCTGTCAACTACTTTACGCGAGCAGGCTACCGCGTCTACGTCAGCGTGCACCGCATCTGCGCATTGATGATTGCTCAAAACAACTGGACCACCTTTGACTCGCGCTTGGATATCAAGGCGTGTCTGGAAAAGATCCGCAAGGACAATGGCAAGAAGCCCGTCTACACGATTGCGCACTGCATGGGCAGCGTGGCCTTTTCCACGGGCCTGCTTGACGGCACGATTCCCGCCGACTGGATCCAGGGCATCACGTGCAGTCAGGTCTTTATGAACCCAATCTGGAACACCATGAACATGATCAAAATCATGGCCTTTCCGATCCCGCTGGACAAGATCTACAAGCTGCTCTGCGGCTCGTGGTTCTCGTGCAGCACGGCGCACGACGACAGCTACATTCAAAAGGCGCTCAACGAGGTGCTGCGGCTCATGCCCGACGAGCGCAAGGAAATGTGCAACAACGCGTCGTGCCACCGCGTCAGCCTGACCTTTGGCCGGTGCTGGAACCACGCCAACCTCAACGAGGCGACGCACCGGCAGATTGACCGCTTCTTTGGCGGCGTCAACATGACGCTGCTGCACCTGCTCATGAAGCAGGGCTACGACGGCGGCGTCATGACCAACGCGCCCCTCTTTGACCGGCTCGACACCCCCGAGAACATCGCCAACCTGCGCGGCATTCCCTTTTTGCTCTTTGTCGGTCGCGATAACGCCGTCCTCAGCCCCGCGGCTACCGAGAAGACGTACGAGGTCCTCTGCGACACGTTTGGTACGCGCGATACTCGTGATAATGATGGTCTGCAGTACAAGCGCCGCGTCGTTCCCAACTATGGGCATCTCGATTGCTGGATGGGCCGTAATGCCTACAAGGACGTCTACCCCTTTGTTCGAGAAGAGGTGGACCGTGTTACTCGTGGCGAGGATTACCGCTTCGTCGAGCCGAATGATAAGTTTACGGAGCGCAGTGATTTTTAAGCTGTGTTTGGATTTCTTTTGATTTGCTTCATGTGTGGGAAAATATGGTGGAATGACGGAGAATACATGTTGTAAGATGACGTTGATCATATTTTTGACGGAGCGAGAAGAAGGATTTGGGTCTCTGGAGTTTAAGGCTATGGAGTATGGGTAGAAGAGGAAATGGGAGCGTATCTCTTCTCCTTGATTGGTTTTTCATTATTTTGGTATATACCCGGGGAAGTCCTCTTTCATTGGATCTCCCACTTTTCTTGTTCATCTAAGGCTTTTCTCTGGTCGACTTTCCTTGATGCAAACTCAATAGATGGTCATTGGGACGAGGATTATACATTGTCGTAGTCTTTTGGATACTTGTTTTCGAAATAGTCAAACTCGACAATATACAACGGCTGGACCAAGAAAATATGCATACATGCTTCCAAGATAGTGCTGCTCATTTTGGTCAAGTTCAAGGTCTTTAGATAGTGGCAGCCAGCCCGATCATATTGACATGTCTCTAGCACTAGCGGACGATACCAAATGAATGTATACCTCAAGAATGAAAAACTTTAAGCAGTCCTTCTATTGCCAGCATAGAAGCTTGACTTACGGTTGCCCGTAGGAAGAAGCACGGGCCATGGCGAACACTTGTGAAGGAAGCCTTTGTAGTGGCTGCGCCTCGCTTACCCGGTCCACAGGTTCCCCAAGTCACACCGACACGAGACATGGGAAACAAGTTTATTTTGTCGGACCAATTGTAACCATCTGCTATGCAGTACAAAGTAGATAAAGAGATTAGAGATAAATGTATGAACTAAATAGGCCTAAAATATATTTGCCTGACTTCACTTTTATTAATAAATTTTTTTTATTAAGCTACTTCGTTGACGACGCGCACCTAAGCCAGGCAATAGATACTTTTACTTCTCATCTATCAGCGCCCCTGGTTTCGGAGTGGTCCAAACCAAAAACGATCGTGTACCTGGCTGGGTAGTGTAGCGCCCCAACTAACGTTACCGGTTCGCAAATCTGGCGAATAGGCGGGCGCAACAGTAAACGGTTCCTGCGATGCGGTATCCAAGAACGGCGAGTTTCTTGATTCTAGGTGTAGTCTCGCTGTGCAATGCCTAGATGCAAGTCGGCAGAGGTATGGGAGATGGTAAATTGGCCAGCCCAAAAAAAAAAAAAAAAAAAAAAGGCATTACGTAGTCTGCGCACTCGCTATGAGATGTGCAAGATGCCATAATGCGGGTTGCTAGATCTTGTTAGCCCTCCCCGGAGTAGGTTGGCAGGACCTGGTCCCGACGACATGGTAGATAGACACAAGAGTTAGCATGCTTGGGAAGAAGGCCATGTACACCCGCATATGCCAAGGACTGCGCCGATTCTTGCTCACTACTTGTTAAGTGGGCTTGAACGGGAATGCAACCTTTGTTATGGTGCCTGCTAGGTCACGTGTCCATTCATGATAGTCGGCTCCGGGGAACGCGTGAAAATGGGGCTGCTTTCCACCCTCTTTACACGAGAAACATGCAAGTTCACGTGACTTCCTGGCTAATCGTTGCACATACTATGTAGTACCATCCATCGATTTCATGTGCAGTGATTGGGTCTTGGACAGAAAAGGGGGGCGGTGCAACAGCCAGCAGCCAGGACTGCATCACCCTGAAGACGGATGGAATGGGCGTCCGTACGGGCGCGCTAATGGATCTGACGGTGATTAGCGGGATTCGGCCGGCATTCATGGGCTATCCCCTTAGCTGGCGAGCACCCTCCTTGCCTTATATGGTAGGTTGGGTACGCCAAGTCTGGGAAAACTGGAGTACAGCCCATTATTTCAACGAAAGCCTCCGTGTTTCTTTGCATTTTACTCCTTATGTATCGGGTTCAAAAAAATTGAAAAAATAATATTTAAGTATTCTAAATGCTTATTTATCTTATACCAAGTGGAAGAATCAAGTTTTCATTATTGATACTGAATTATTCCAGCTAAAAGTTCGAGGTGTGCATCCGCATACATCATTGGCTATACCAACAAGTACTACCTGGCGATCAGGGCAAAAAGGGTGGTGCTCGCCAGCTAAGGGGATACAACGAAATGTATGTTTAAGCAGACACTAACTTGCTTGACTTGCTGCATGAGCTGGCGCGCCGCAGAACGAAAAAGCACAAGCACCACAAGCAGAGGCCCGCCCGGCTGGGATCATGGGGCGGAAGAATTGGGGGAGTTACCGCTATTACTGCTGACTGCTGGCTACTGCTTTGCACGATCGAGTGGGCAATCCCTAGATATATTGTATTATTGGGTTAGCGGTTGCAATATGATTTTATAAGCAGGAAGCTATTGGAACCATCTTCGGTCTGCCATAAAGACTCGGCCATCTGGATAGATCCCATGCGACCGAACCATAGTATACTAGGCCAGGGGAGTTTGAAGTTTGGCAAGGACGCTAGCAGACGCGACCTTGGCTGGCCCCTGCCGTGGGTGGGTGGATGAGTGGATGAGAGACGGTCGAAACTTGAACCGTGGACTTGGTTGCTAAGACTCAACAGACATGCGCCAGTTAGCCTCGACGCTACCTCGACGCTACCTCGCACCGGAAGCCGGGACTAAGGTAAGGTAGAAGCGTGCTGGCTAGGCTACATGCTACCAAAAGAAGCTGGTGGGATGCCCGATCTTAGCTTTGATTCTTTCCTACAACTCGTAGATAAAAACAGCGTCTTCCACGAAACTCCGCTAACTTTTGTTTTTCCCACTCGATTCAATTTTATATTCTACTTTACTTGACAATATATTTCTGCTTGATTTTATGAAAACTCCGAACTGTCACAAATGATCCATGTCTTCTGCTCAGCCAATGTCCTCAGAAGTGGTGGTAGCAATTGCCGTGGGCTTGCCGTCCTTGCTCATAGCGCTCATCGCATTGTGGCTGGCCTACCTCACCTTTGCACACACACGCTCGTTATATCGAGATACGCAATACTCTATGCATTTACTCTCGCATCACTATAGAGCATCGACGACGAACCAACCGGAAACACCCGCTCGCAGAAGGCAATTGCTCTCCTCAGATGCGGCTGAACCCCTTTGACCCACGTCGTTATCAAGCAACACCATCATGATGTGAGATTTCCCAAGTACCACCTCAGAATCGGAAGCCCTGACAATCACATCTGCAAAAGCGATAATTCTGCTGCTCGAACACTTCAAAGACGAACTGGTCCAGCCAGAAGAGAGTACCCGACATTCGCCAATTCTCTGCACGCAGCTGTGCTGGCTCTACCAACTCGACTACTATTTCATCGCTTTATAGTCCATCCACATTTATTCCTTACGGCCCCACACCCGGCGCAAAGCATAACCAGTAAACCATCTTCCGACTCCAAGACAACATTGATTCAGCCCAAGCAAAATGGACTCAATCGGCTGATACTACAAGAAGAGAAGGAGAGCAAGAGAGATGCTAGTGATTTCAAGAGGGCTCAATCGTGTGCAGGCTGAGCCACGCTTGAAATTTGGCGATTTTGTATTGAACTTCAGCGTGTTCGTTAGCGGTAAATATGTTGTTAGAATGAATATATTGTCATAAGCAAGAATTTTGGACATTTTCAAAACGTGCATTTCCAGCAGGCTTAATAGCAAGCGCGTGCAACACCCGATTTTTGATGGAAAGTAATTGATGATAGCCTTCCTATTCAGAGAGCAGAAGGCTGCTACTGCCAAGGTGGATTACTATTAGTCGGACCCCTAAGCCAACTAGACTAGGTTAGGTTATAGAATGTCGCTAGGGGCAAACCCACTGCGTACGATCGTATGCAGGCTGCATCAGGAATCGCAGGCCCCGAATTGATTACTTCGAAAATTTCCCACAGATCCAAGTGAAAAACGTGCTGGTTATGAAAGGGTTCTTGATACGGCGAGATGGGGCTCGTCTGCTCACCCTTCTCGAAAAGCCGCGCCCATATGCATAGCTAACGTTCCGCTCATCTCCTCGCGCACATATGCACGAAGCAGCGTGGCCTGTGTCCAGCAGCGTGTCGCCAATCACAGATGCGCGCTCCTCTCTATTTCTGGATTAGGCTGATGCGCGTCTCACCCCTTCAGAACAACGCCCAGTGAGTGCAGACCATGGGTCAACAGGACTGACAGGGCGCCTCTTCTTGGCCTTCTAGAAGTTCCTTAGGGCAGAGACTACTACTTAGTTCGTACAAGGGAATGGGTAGTGATCGCTTCCCATCTTAGCGAAGTATGTTTCCAACCACTTACACAAACGATTGATACTGTTCAGTCGGGCGGCATGCAAGCAGAAGTGAATGACATTGGCTCGGGGCTAAGTTGGAGCATTTACCACACAAACTCCCCTCGGAAAATCAACAATATTCGGTAATACTAATTGCAAAACTTTCTGTTTTCAAACTTGTGAAGGACTTTTGGGAGGAAGAGAATAAAAAGCTGCAACCACATTACCAAGAGATGTTTCGCATTCAATGAACCAACGTGATCCGAGCATGAAAATTTGCAAGCTCTCCGAGCTGGAGCTGCCGGATTGTTGATGCAGGTCGCATGATAATAGTCAATTCGTATAATGCACCACAATCCGCATTTTCTATCTCATATGCAACTTTTACAAAGTCCCAATTGACTACCACAGAAGCCCAAGTCTCATTCATTGTATTCAAGGTCATGGTTTTGCGCCTTTGTTTGCGTTCACTCGCGATGCACTCTGGAGAAAAGGCAGCCTTGACGGTGAGTTGAGAGTACGAATTTGCAACTACCACGATGCTAACAAGTCACGTCAGGTTGGGCTGCATATCAAAAACTTGGATCTCAAAGGCGCACTTCTAGTATTACTTGCGGAAGTTAAACATCACGGCAGTGATCGCTGTACATACTTCTCAAGCTCGGTCCAGCTCAGCTCGGCCGCTTTCGGCTTGCGCATTAGAGCGTCTAGCTCGTGTAGGTATTGCACGAGAGGGGAAATATGTTGTTAATGGCTGGATATTCAAGCAGCAGTAGACAG